TAGTTGCTACGCTTGGCAGGCGGGTTGGCAACCGCAGTTAGGCTTTATTTTAAGAGGGACGCTGCTGCCTATCTCTCGTCCTCCCTCAGTCGTCACCTATGGGAAAGGAAGGGGTAACCTATTCTATGCTGGGACCACACGGCACATTCATATTATTAAATAATCATAATAGTCCAATATAGGTTTTTAGTAAAAGATTTTTTTAGAATTCAGACAATGTATGTGGATGTCGAGTCAACTATATACCTATGAATCATATTATCTATGAAAAAATATATAAACTCTGTAACATCAGAAAAATCTGTTAAATAAATAAATAAACTCAGTATAGATAGACAAATCCTTAGTGAAGATAATGCAACTTAATCATCACTCTCGTAGGTACAAAAGTGTGACATCAAATATTTGTTTAAACTGATTTCATTTTTTATGATAATTCCGTCTTCGTTACAGGGACTTTCCTTGAAATGGCCGAGATCTGTATCTCAGTGACTCTATAGTCACAACAAGCCGTTAAATAAATATCGTCATCAGATACGGAAATAATGTAGGTGGCGTCCACAGTGAAACGACGAGCTGCGCTGATTAAATCGCGTTGATAGTAATCATCATGGCATGCTCGACATAAACTGAACAGCAAATAATGACGATATTTCGTCAATAGAATATCAATCACAGCTAAAATTGATACATAACTAATCTACACTTATCAATTGCAGTATCTGATAAGCCTGTTACTATTTAGAATACGTTTTAGGGATGTATTTTATATATTTCTTACTCCGCTTTCATATTCGAAGAAAGAATGAAATTACCTTTTTAAAAAAATTAAACCAGTATAAAGGGGGAAAGAACTGGAAAATAATGATGGTTTTAGCATGTTTTTACTTAACTACTACTACTAAAGGGTAAGATAAAACGAGGAATTTACTATAATGTTGTAAAGAAATTGTGCAATTACATTTATAATGACCGTGTGCAACAAAACATATCATTTTATAGAATGATAATTCAGACAATATTTTTTAGTGATTAGGTACGATACGATAAATAATTACCTGTCCTTGAGATATTATTATTACTAATTGCTGCACTAACGACTTCGTCCGCGTGACCGTGACATGCTGATTGGTCAAGATAAAAGTAGAAGGACATTCCTTCTCCGCCCTAAATAAAGCGTATAGTTATGTGTACAAATTTCATGACGATTTTTGGAGTTTTTATTGCGCCGAACAAGAGGTAACAAACTTACTTTCACATGTATAACAACACTGTGTTCGTAATATTTTATAATATTTTAAGCTAAAGGTAAAGAATAGACATAGAACTACGATTATGAACATAAAAAAACATAATAATCATAAATTTTTGTACAGCTGATACTCATATTTTATGTAATGTTGATAAAACAACTTACAACATATAAAAGGATTATAGAAAGTGTAAAAAATTATCTTCCCAATGGAAACAACAAAAACTTGGGTGGGATATGGCGTGAATTTACTGGGTACAGAGAAATAACACCTGAGTCCTCAGGAATGGCAACGCATAGGGGGTATCATGGGCGAAACAGTATACTCTGTTATGTCTATGGTACTGCTCATGTCTATAGGCGACGGTTACCACTTTCCATCAGGTGGGCCGTCAGCTTGTTTGCCATTTTAAGTTGTATAAAAAAAAAACTAATGGATTGAAATAATATTTGGCACACAGATTTATCATATTCAAAATTAACAAATAGGGATCCTATCTTTATCTTTATTCCGGTGATACATGTAACTGAGAATGTACATACATAATACATACAAATACATATATGTCACGCCTGTCTCCCATTAGGGTAGGCAGAAACAATGGAACGCCAAATGCTTCGATTCAAACAAACCTCTTTCGCTTCTTCCACATTCATCAATCTTTTCACTGAGAATGTATTCAGTAGTTTTTAAGGTACGAAGCCGTAGCACGATATAAATCCTCTATACGAATTATATCAAATATTTTTCTTTAGTGCTATAACCTAAGTTACTAATAGCTAGGATATATAAATATAGCTAGGATAGATTAATTAAAAGCTGATCGAGATAATAGCCACCGTACTATCAATCTATAAAGTGTTTTAATTCAACATAGTCCTTATTTTTATTTCATGTATATGTGGAGTGTACTCCATTTCTAATTTCCCATATTAGCTTATGTTTCTTTGTTTACTATTTTTCATCATACTATTTCTATATAATTAAGGTCTTCTTCTTTCTTTTATGAAGGTAATTACGCGTAAATATTATGGTCTGATATGGTTTATCCATATTCCGTTTTACAGTATCTCAGTACATTTTATCAACGCAAATATATGACTTAAATACTTTTCGTTTTTCTACTTTCATGATGATTAAGCGAAGGTACAAAACTAATCGTTTGTAACTTATTTACTGACCCGACATACGTAGTACTGTTCAAATTTCATTTTTTAATGTTCTAAAAACATTTTGAATGAAGGTTCATTGTCCTATCAGAAATAATAAAAAAAAAAAATATTCAGTCTAGTGGTAAACTGATACACTAATAATACTGCTATATCAATAAGCCCCATTCAATTTTTATTTATATAGATGAGTTCAATTGTCCGAATTAAATTGTATCATACGCAGTTCGTTCTTGGTATTTTATTAATGTTGTGTCATCAATGGCTTACGTACTTACAATGTGTGACTGTGAGTGATGTCGCTACACCACGCGTTGTTAAATCCAACGCGTATAAATAAAGACACTCGATTCTTATGTATGTATATTCAACATCTGTGTCTAGATCTAGAAACACTTTGTTTAATTGAAATTATTACTCATAGGGAGCGCCCTCACAAAATATTTTCATGGTCATATTATTTACATTTGTAGTTAAGTATATTCAGTTATTTAAAAACGTTTAATTTTAGAAAACTGCTGGCAGTAATCTATTTGTTGTTAAAAGTTTTTTTTAGTGTCAATGCTAAAGTTTTAGATGTAGTAACGATTACTTAAGACACCTAGGCGTAGCAAAAAATTTTGCTTGGAGCGCAAGCCTAAAAGTTGCCAAGTCTGCTAAGCATTTAGTTTCAGACGTAGCACCAAAGGCAAGCAAAGGTAGGCCCTGCTCTCAAAGATCTGACTTTTTTTACACAATTATTCTTGTTGCATATTAGTGTTCTGATTACAGTTATTTTTACACTAGTACTGGCAAGATGCAGTAGAGCATATCAATTTGACATTGAAAATCGTGTCACAAATTATTCAGTAGTTATTATGCCGTGTCCGATTAAGCGATAACCTTAACATTGTATCACCAAATCTGAAGTTACTTGTAAAACAATCGCCAAATATGTATTTTGATAGTTAAGTTGAAAGTAAAAAATAATTCGAACATATTAGCTAATATTAGTACTGTTATTATCAATGAGATAATCCCTTTGAGTACTGTTTTAGAATCTGCATAGCGCCAAATCAAAATACTCATTGGTGTTGCGATGACATATTAGTAGATACCTAAAATCTAAACTGCAAAGTCTATTCGGTCTCTTCATATTTATAGAACACACTTTAGAGAGCTAGGAACATTATGATTTGGCATATATCTCGAAATCTATCCCCGGTTCGTTCGATATCTCATCATAGGTACTATCTACTAGACTACGGAGCTCATTCAATGATTTCTGGCTTGTGATTGAAAATGTGAAATTTGGAATTTGTTCATAATTTAACTATGTACAGTGCTTATCTAGTTGCATATTTTTAACCGATTTAAAAAAGAGTACATCAATTAAATTGTAGATTGTCCCTATTTTATTGTGTATTTTTTAATGAAAGAGGTTTAATAATTTATTAAAATTGAAGACGATCCTTTTGTTTTATCAAAAACAATAATAATAAATATTTACGTCCAATAGGTTTATATTGTTAAATGTTAACTGTTTGTCGCCTTTGGTTGTTTTGTGATATGATCAATTATAGAAGTCGTATTGTATAGTTTCGCCCGTAGCGTAGATACAACTTAACTAAGGCTGACAGACGAAGAGTCGCAGTTTCACCGGATTTGTCCTAGTTTGTAAAGTATTCCAGAAGTGATAGAAGACGAGAATATTAGGCGACTTATAGTTTACTAATTTACAAACTACAAACTTCATTCCCGCCCAGAAAATTAATTACTAAATAGCATTTATTATTATAATATTTTAAGTGGACGAGAATAAATACAGTAATACACAACTAGATTATTATTATATTTACGTTGTTGCGACAAAGTGCCTAACCTTTATAGTACGCGCATTGAAGCATAAATCCTCGTAATTAAAAAAAGGTCAATGTCAATCAAGAAGATAAAAATAGAAGGCGGGGCGTGTTTACTATTCAATAAACTTTATATTTTGCCGCAATGTAACTAAGTACAATGACTTTTGAGCACCTACTTCCATAACTATACGACACGTGCGAATATCGAGTTCGTAAACACAGACTCAACATAATAACAGGCAATTTAAGTATATTGTTACAATAAAAAATCGGAAATTAAGAGTCACGCGGTTTGGGTTTAGTTGGGTGTTATATTCAAGTAATTCTGTGTATATATTCAATTAAGTAGTCAACTCCTCTATTACGTTATTATCAAATTAGGAAATAGTAAGTAGTCATCAAGTTTCATCATCATGGTACTTGTTAACTTGTTTGAAATAAAGATCAAATTTTGTGATGTGTAATCATGGAAGTAACCTAATTATCTATATTCACAAAAAATGTGTTCAAACACAGAACTAGGAACAAAGAATATTGACGCAAAACTGGGTACTAATAAATGTATACTCGCCACTGGATTAGATGGTGGGTATATATTTATTAGTACCTAAATTTGCGAAGTAGGTGGCGGAATTCCAAAAAAATTAAGAACAATGGGTTAGCAGATATCATTATTAACAGAAACATGCTAGTTAGGGAACTATATATAAATTTTATAACAAGGTACTGTACTGTACCTCATGAAGTTTATGGGGTTCTCCGCCCCAAATTTCTCTCCAATGGATTAAATGATGCAGATGGTTTCTATAACGATGGTCGCGCTTTTTTCGGGAATCAGTGGGCGATGGTGGTGCCGTCAAAGATTCACGGCGACCGCTGGCGGCAGATACCACCGCCGGTGGAAGCTGTGAGCCCAGTAAACGTTCTGTCTCCGGGCCCTCGTCGGAGGACACGCTATCCATCAGTGAACGAACCGGCCTCGACCCGCGGTCTCCTCTACACAAACTAGCTTGTGATTCTTCTTTCTTCATGATGTTTTAATTCACAACACAAAAACAAACGTGAAATTGAAAGCAAAATCGAGTGAAAGTGTCGCAATTGATAACATTGCGAAAGGAAACGATAAAATGACGTCGCGGGCCAACGTGCATCGCAGACGGCGCCGGCGGCAGACTGCTGACTACACGATGTGGCGACCGTTCAGCCGCACGTGGGCACCAACGTCAAAACAATCTGACGCCGCGATATTCGCGAATATGAATGCGTATACTACACGATAGACGCTAACGAGTCTGCGTCGCCTTTGTGAACCGCAATTCAAATGATATCGTTTAGCAATGACCACAAACAAATTATTACATGTTGAGAATATTATTATAGAGGTACATTATTATAAATTTAAATCAACAGTATGCACCTATACCTCCATTCCTATATGGTAAGTATGTACCTATAATTAGGGACTATAAATGCCTAAACAAAACAACAAGAGTAGGTGTTGATAGTACATCAATATTAAAATAATACTTGAAATGAATATTTAAATGCCTTATTGAATAGATGCATATTTGTATATGAGTATTAACAAGTTCATTGAATACCTATAACATATTTTTAATAATTTATGGTTTTAATATCATATATAAATTGACAAAATATAAATCTGCATAAAAATTTATCTGCTATATATGGGACATAATAAGTACAGGTTATAAAAGTTCATTTTAATATTTTCTTTTATTTATAGATATAATATACCATTGCAGCATATATCTGTATTCTGATGTAATAAAATATTAAAAATTTAATATAAATACTTACACGCAACTGACACACTTTTGTGTATAATATAAGAATTATATAATAAAGTAATGATTAGTAGTAGTAATGGCAGTATCAGTAAATAAAACTGAGAAATATGATTCTTTTAATTTAACAATTTAATTTATAGACAAAGAATAAAAGGATGTTTAGGCTAGTTCTGGAGCCATTCTTCAAAATTAATAAATGTATGTATATTAAAAATTAGTCTCAGTTCTCCTAGCCGTTCTTTCTATTGGGTTCAATTGGTATAGTACGATGTTAAAACCGATTTTACAGTTAACGAAGTAATTAATGGATCTAAAATTGTTCACTATTCATTCGTATAATTATATTTAATAAGTATTATATATATACTATTTAATTCTAATAAATTTTAATTTTAATTAAATGTTTACATCAAATTATGAATTATTTAATTTAACATAAATTAAATGAAAGCAGCAGTTTTATTACAATAATTTTTAACCAATAAAAATAAAAAAACAATTGCTCATCCCCTTTTCATACCCACTCCTCTTCTTATTCCATTCCCGCAACTGGATTTAAAGCTCAATCTTAAGCAAGCTTTTTAGTACTTTAGCTATTATGATAAACATAAATTTAAGAAAAAACCTTATCTAATAGTAGGTAGGTACCTTTGTTTAAAATGTAGGTATGAAAATATGAAATGTATAAATTATTGATAATAGAACTTACCTAGCTACAACAAATGTTCAGTAGTAGCAGAAACAATTCACTTCATGAGTAATAATTATAACATTTTATGTTACATAAATGTAATATTTTGATAAGAATTTAAAAAATCTATGTACCAAAGTTCCTAAAATATTTAATTTTATTCATTTCGTTATTCATTGATCCATAACAAACAGTACGAAAACGATACAATGGATCGGTGAAAAAGTCCAATCAAAGTCAAATTTAAATTTGACATTGAAAAATAGTGTCAAAGAATTACTGTCATTGTCACTATGACAGTCGCAGTCTATTATATACAGAGACGACTGTTAGCACCTAAGAACAAGGAATTACATAGTGTAACATAGCCATTTCACTATGTTAAAAATAATACTACCAAATAATAAAATTTACTATCTATAAATACATACGAATGCAGATACTTTATAAATATTGCGCTCGCTCCTATATTAGAATATTAAGTATCTACGTTCCAACGCCGAAAACCGGTCGGTGGTCAGTTACTGCCCCTCGCCTCATATTTTTTTTTTTTATTGGATGAAAATGGAGTAGTTACCCCGCCTGCGCTAATGGGATACGCTGGCGGGGCACCAGTGAAGGGTGATCGATGAGGATGAAAACAGGCCAGTTAGCCCATCGTGATGAATTCATCACGAATTAATCATAATAGTTTGGGGGGAAAGGGATTGTTAGTAATGGAAACCTCCCATATTTACGTCAGGTCGACCTCCTCGCGGTTCCCCCTGCGAAACTATCATGTTAATTCTAAATTCATCATGATGCATCTAAACGTTGTTTTGTCTGTTGCACCATTAACAGTTACCATACTTTTCACCCAGCAAAAAAAAAAAAAATCATAATAGATTCCAGGGGGAACCGCGAGGAGGTCGACCTGGTTGGGTATATTGCTAGCCATGGGATTCTTACTCTACATTAGTAACAATCCCTTCCCCCCCCCCCCCCCTCGCCTCATATTTACGTCTCACGGCATACCTGCGACTATCTTACGTGCATCTAAACGTTGTTTTGTCTGTTGCACCATTAACGTATCTACTGGTCTAGAATAAATCGTGCAACAATTTCTCTATTTATACAATAATATTTAAATACATATATATTTAAATCCCATACTGGGTAAGTTGTGCACATACATTTTATGCTTCTTTATAATGTATTAGATTTAAAAGATTGTGTTTTGTTCAGTTAAAGTTGATATCACAGTGTTCTAATAATTTATCATTACTTGGCATTATTTGTAACAGTAATCGCTTCTTAGTCTAGTAATTTAGTGATTGGCCTTTGCAATATATCTCCTTTTTGCGTACTTAATAGTAGTAATATTAATAAGTAGGTACTTATTCATTTTATTATAGCCGCCTACCTAACCGTTTCTGATTTTGTATAATAATTATCACCTTGAATTTTTTTCTCCTTCTACTAATTAACTAAGTAGCTCTGGAATACCCATAATCTGTAGGTCTAATTAAATCCTGCTAGCTTATGGTCATAATTCAATTGTTCAACGTCATAATACGATTACAGGAACACCCCTAGGATTACCAAGTGCCTAAACCTATCAGACTATTTATTGGATATACAAAACCCGCCTGTGGCCTGAAGAACGAATCGTGCCTATGCCGTAGTGAAGACCAGATATTACTTGGACGAATACTGGAGACCAAGGAGAGTGGGTTTTCAGGAACCGGGACGGATGATCTTTTTTTTTCGTTTTATGTCCTTAGAATTTATCCGCACCCTGACTTACTTTTTCATATTTTTACTTTACTAGCTTTTACTTGTACTTATTATATTATTTACATTAACTATTTTTACTAATTTTAAATTTAATTAAATGTTTAAGTCCTTTATAATAAATAAGTTTTTTTTGCTGCATTTTGTTGTTATTATTATTTTAATGATAAATGCGACAATAGAAGGAGTGATAAAATTGTCAATTCATAGCAGGCTAGTCTATAGAAAATGTTATACGGCCGTATAACCCTACTAAATTCAGATACAACCTACTTTCTGCACAAACTGTGTCAAATATATAATCTAGTAATGTAAAATTTGTCATTGAGTAATAATTGACATATCAAATATTTTCTATACTTCTATACAATAGCCTACTATAAATAGAAAAAAATTACAACTGATGGTGGATCTTTCATCCTTTTTTTACTAATTATATTTGCATAAGAAGAAAAGAGGCAACCATGTGGTTTACAGTTTTTATTTTATCATTCCTTCTATGTAATTCCTTATTCGTAGGTTGTTCCATAGTCTCCTCTGCCTAATGTTTGGTCTTGTTTTTAGTGAATTTTGTTTATAATTAACAACTTCGTATATAATTATATTTTTATAATAAACATGTATGAATTGAATAATATTTTTAAAGCCCTTAAATGAGGATACCGCATTGATTATGGCATTACCTCAAAAGAAATATTATAGGCAACGTGCTCATTCTAACCCCATAGCAGACCATTGTTTTGATTAGTAAGTTATTGTGTAAAGCGTTCAATTTATTATTTTCTTTATTTAAACCTAAGTACACCTTTAATTTAATTTGCGGTTTGGGTTTGTCTTCAAATGTTCCTTACTTGGTTCTTTATAAAACAAAAAATAACGTACCTTAAGAACCAGGCAATTGGTGTGGTTTTTTTCAATGTATGATAATGAGATGGTTACTCTGCCTGCGCTAACGATATACTCTGACGGGGTACCAGTGAGGGATGATAGGTGAGAATGAAAGGTCAGGTCTTTTTTTTAATGGGTGAAAATGGAATGGCAACCCCACCCGCGCTATCGGTATACACTGGCGGGGCACCAGTGGAGGTCGACCTAATAGGGCATATTGCTAGCAATGGGGCTGTCAAACTCCATTGCTAACAATTGCTTCCCCCTCCCCCCCAAGAAAGGGAAGGTAGCCCATTGTGATGTATACACCTGGAATTCAGCTAGATGGTTTCCAGAGGGCCCATGTGGAGGTCGACCTGACAGGGTATATTGCTAGCAGGGGACTGATAGTTCACATTAACAATTCCTTTCTACCGACACTTAGTGTGGTTATGGGATCCTTTTATATTTCACTTGTACCAACAACAACAAGTCAATAAGTGAAGCATTTATGCATACTTCTACCTCAAACCTCTAGGTTGTGGAATGAGCTCCTTTGAGTAGGAAATTTCAAGAAATGTCCATACAATACAAATATTTAAAAGGCTGGCATTTGCATATGCAACTCCTCTCGTGTTGCAGGTGCTCATGGATGCCAATAACCACTTTACATCATGTGGACTGTTTGCTTATTTGCCATCCTAACAGTAAAAAAAAAGAATGTTGCCACTAATAAATTTACTAATTTTTTGCAGTCCTGTTCATCCTAAGGAATATGACTGGTCATCATTGTATCCCACTTTCAAGACCGATAGTAGTCCTGTAGAATTTTTGGATGTTGGCTGTGGTTATGGTGGACTATTGGGTAATTAATTTACATTATTGCTTGTGTATTATAAGAATCTGTTGTAGATGGAGATGAATAAAAGTGCTTTGAATAGTCAGTCTTAGAGGAAGACTACAAAAGTCATCTGCATGAGTAGATTCTGTCTTACTCATGTTCCTGCCATGAAACAGCTATGATTGTATGGCTGTGTTTCAGTTTGAAGGATGGGATATGGCAGAGAAGTTATAGTGTAGTGGAGGCATATCATAGTCATCATTTTATATTTAGTAATGATTGACTAGTGTAATCTGTATGTCTTTAGCACTGTTCATGCTATATATGAATGACAGTAATACACTTACTTATTATTAGAAGTTTAGAAAATGTATTTCTTTTTTACGTACTGGTATTCATAATTTAATTAATTTTGTGATATCTTTTTTACAGTAACTTTGTCTCCAATGTTTCCCAAAAAAATTATATTAGGTTTGGAGATAAGGGTGAAAGTATCAGATTATGTAAATGATCGAATCAATGCTCTAAGGTTGCAACATCCTGATCAGTATCAAAATATTGCTGTATTAAGAACAAATGCAATGAAATATTTACCAAATTTCTTCAACAAGGGACAGGTATATATTAAATGCTTTATTCTTTCAAAGTATAAGTACTTTATTTTGCATAAGTCACTGTTTATATTGTAAGTTTTTGATGGAACTTTGTTCTATCCTTACTAATATTATCAATTTGGAATTAAGTTTGTTTGTTTGTCCTCTTATTGCACCTAAACAGCTTAACCAATCTCTATGAAATTTGGTATACACATACTATATAGTATGGAAAAGGTTGTATGCTACTTTTTATCCTGGTTAGTAGATATCTGGACATGTGGAATAAATCATGGGTAAAAGCTAAAGTTATTTAAATAAAATCAATAAATATATATTTTAAATAATATTGTATAATTGGTACTTTATGTTGATTTAATTTGTTTTAAATTGATATGCCCATCTATTAGTAACATTTGGTTTATTTTATTTCCCATTATTCAGTTTCATAATCAATAATATCCAGTTATTAATGATTTTTATTGCTATAAATAATACCCACTGCAGATTTATCATTTAGAGAGGAGAAAATGTGAAGCTCTTGGGATTAAAAATATTACTAAATATTCATAAAATTTCTTGTATTATAACACATCTAAATGTTTAAGTATAACAAACTATTAAATTATGTGGAAAAAATAACTTTTTCTTAAATAAGTACTTCAGCATTTATTGTAAATAAAAATATATTTATTTATATATTGTCATGAAAGTCCATATATTATCTTATCAATATTGATTTTAAACCACTGTTTTTCAGCTCAAAAAAATGTTTTTTCTATATCCAGATCCACATTTTAAGAAGGCAAAACACAAATGGAGGATAATTAATAAATGGCTGTTATCTGAATATGCTTATGTTTTGGCAGAAGAAGTAAGTATAATTTTTTTAATGATTTCTTTTATAATAAATAGAAGCCATACTACATATGTTCTAGTATCAATATGTAGACATCTATAAAAAAAGCAAAGTGAATTGTTAAATCTTATTTTTATTGGATCTTTGGTTCTTAGTGAAACTTATATTGAATTAATTAAAAAATTAATAAAAACAAATTATTTCATTATGACTTAATTTTTCAAAAAAGGTTTAGCCGGATAAATATGTCGAATCTGCCCCCAAATGGGAACCTATATCGCAACTTATGTTTTAATATCTACTTGGTGTACCAACACGATTTATGTATATTTCGCGACCAACTTTCACCTTGACCTTGAGATATGAGAAAAAATAGCCGTACGGCTATTATTCAAAGTAATATATCTCAAAAACTTATTAAACTAAAGAAGCGAGACCAATGCGAGGTTGTAGGTTACATTACAGAGTATATCATATATTTTTTTAGAATTTTTACAAGATCTTTTTATATAATAAAATAAATAAATAATAATTTTGTTTTTCGTGTTGTTTGAGACTTACAATCACGAAAATAATATAATATTATATAATAAAATAAAAATTGTGGGAGAAAAAAGTTGGTGCAACACTTTGAAAAAAAAATGTGATTCGCGCCATATATGGATCTAAACATGATTTTACCTAACACGCGGACAAAATTGTAAACAAACATATTTGGACTTGTTATCACGTTATTTATTGTATGGTTTACTAATTCTCCATATTTCAGGGTGTGGTATACACAATTACAGATGTAAAAGATTTACATGATTGGATGGTATTACATTTCGAGGATCATCCATTATTTGAAAGGATAGGTGATGAGGAGTTGGTAAGTGAATTTTATTTTATCTAAATTATACCCTAACACTACAACGTGTCGTGATGTTGAGTAGTCTATAATCTGTCTCTAGAAATGAGCCATCAAATGTACAAATTGTTTTTCTAATCCCTATTTTAACGATTGAATATGGATTAATAACTCCGCCTGCGCTATTGGGTTATCCATTAGAAATGATAGATATGAATGAGCAAGTCACTTGGCCCATCGTTATGAATTCAACAAGAATTACCCACGATAGTTCCCAGGGGAAACTACATAGAGGTGGACCCGATAGGGTAGGTATATTGCTAACAATTAGGCTATTAAATCTTATTATTATCAGTTCCTTTTCCTGTTTTAATTAGGTTTATCAATGATCTTAGCTATCATCGACAAGTTAGATAAAGTTTTGTTATTGGTTATATTCCCTTGACAGCCTTAGCATAGTAGTTGGCACTTTGAGTAAACGGGATCCTGGATTCGATTCTTAGTTAGGCTACCTATTAAACATTCATATAATTTTCATAAATAAAATATGAAACTTGCATAAATCTATGCAAAATCCAGTAATTGAATATAGCACCGCAGCACGTCGTTATATTTAAAATAATGTTATAATTAAAAGCAAAATCAATCTCTTATTACAGAAAACTGACCCAATTGTGGAGAAGTTATATGAGAGCACTGAAGAAGGTCAAAAGGTTACACGAAATCAAGGAGAAAAGTTTCTTGCCGTATTTCGAAGAATACCTGATAATTTTAAATAAAATACAAATGATGCTTGATAATATTGTTTTATTCTTATGATAATTAATAGCATATAAAAATACAAACATTATCTGATCAAAAACACAAAGTTCCCATTAAAAGACAAGCACATATAGATGGGATAAGTAAACTGATATTAGTATAATATTCTTAGCTCCTTATAAAAATGTCAAATCACTCATAAGCTTGTTTATGCTATTGAACTATTTTTCTTTTACACTTTTTCCCTATATACATTTCCTACAGTGCATATATGATGGATTTATGTTTTAATTTTGATGGATAAGGATTAGATTATATTTAACACGTTCACGCCGGGGCCGACTTTAATGTTTTTGCTGCGAGGCGGCGCTCTAATTGATGCTACGCTTCATGATCGAATACGTACCACCGGTGGTACGAGCCGCCAGAAAAGACAGTCTAGTGCGAGCCACCGGTGGTACGTGCTGCCAGATAAGACAGTCTATTGCGTACCGCCGGTGGTACGCGCCGTCCAATGAGACAGTCTAGCCGGCGGCGTAAACGTTAAAGTAAAACATCATGGATGAAAATACTTATTTAACCGTAATTTAAATAGGTAAGGAAATTTTTATGTAGATGTATTTATTATTAGCTATATCCCGTATGTTTGCTGGTAATAGGGATTGTTAGTAATGGAGACTGAGAATCCCATTGCTAGTAATATACCCAACCAGGTCGACCTCCTCGCGGTTCCCCTTGGAAACTATCATGGTTAATTCCCGATGAATTCATCATGATGGGCTAAATGGCCTGTTTTCATTCTCATCTATCACCCTTCACTGGTGCTCCGCCAGCGTATACCGTTAGCGCAGGAGGGGTTACCATACCATTTTCATCCATAAAAAAAATAGTATTGAGATGCGGAATAGATTATACTTTTTCACAAATGAGCAATGAAATGTAAAAATATTTTTCCAAATCCGATTGATAGTTACAGAGATTAGTGCATTCAAAGAAACAAACTTGCTTTATATATTTGTATAGATAAATTAGTCTAGTATGTCAGTGACATGTAAAATTCAATAAATCATTATTTACCAACTTTTTTCTCTAAAAGACTAATCCATCTGCTCAGTGGTCTTGTTATATCTAAATGGCGGCGCATGTGATTAGCTGCACCTAATATCCAATCTTTTTGGTTAATCCACATTTTATGTGATAGTAGCGCGAATAATAAGGCCGCCCATATCTCGCATTGTTGTGGATATATGTGAAGTCCTTCTTTAGCTAGTAACAGGGCTTTAGTATGGTCGCCTGCTATGTGTTCTGCTATACTAGCCATAGCAATCATTTTTGCTGGATCACAATATTGTTCACTATAGCGGGCAGAACATAAAGCCTTTTGAGCACAATTACTAGCTGCTTTTGCCTTTGTATTTGATGCTCTTAGACAATACTCAGACATAAAGTACCACAAAAGTGCATTACTCGGATGATCATGAAGCGAATCACTTAATAATTTTATTGCCTGATCTATGTTATTTTCACATACAAGAAGGTATGACTTTAAGAAACCTATATCAAATCCATAATCACTTTGATTCTCATATTTTTGTAATTCATGTAATGCAAGTTTAGTCAAGCTTTGATCAGAATGTAATAAGCCAAGTGAACAAATGGCGAATAAACTATTAGCTGTTGGTTTTTTCTGAGATATTTGAATACTGTGAAATACTATAGTTTTGGCATCATCTAGTCCTTTAAACATATACATAATACTGGCCATAGCCACAAGCAAATCAGCCTTTTCATCATCTTCATTGCTCAACCAATGCAAGGCAGTATCATAAACAGAATAGGATTCTTCATAAGAAGCCTTTTTAAAAAGTGCAAGAGCCAGACCACAAGTAGAATCTAAGCTGGCTTCTGTTATAGCTTTGTATGTTTTAATAGCTTCATCATATTTTCCCAATCTGAGTAAAATTCTACCAAGATTTAGAAGAGTTATGTTTTTTTTGCCTTCTTCTGCATAATTTAGAGCTTTTTGATAAGAATTATATGCAGCTCTAAGAAGTCCATTCCTTTCTTGGAGTATTCCAAGAATTGTACATGCACATGCATCATTTGGTTCAAAGCTAGAAAACCATTCAACTAAATCAATAGCATAAGGAATGGCATGAAGTCCATCAATTTCATATCTAGACTCTGGGCTTTCCTTATATTTATTTTTCTTTAAAGTTCGGCAAACCCAATCAGCATAACCAAGGGCACTCTCAGGGTGGTAACCCAATCGTGATGCGTGTCTGAAGAGATCCATTGCCTCTTCTTCGCGTATAGCTTCTGCTATTAATCCTTGCCCTATCCAACTTTGGGCATGGGATGGTAATGTTGATTGCCCACGCCAGAAACAATAATTAGCTAACTTATGAAGTTTTAATTTTAAATATAAAGTCCCTAAATTGGACCATATCTTTGCTACAGACCATTTACGGGTTACTGACAGTGCTTTGATGAAACAATGTTGAGCTATATCATATTTTTTTATAAACAGACATATTTTACCAAGCAAGTTCCAATTGCGCCAGATAGTAGGATTTTCTTTAATGCATATTAATGTCAATTGAAAAGATATTTTACAATCAGCTTGTTTATTAGTTTCATGGTAATAAGCGAGATATGCTGATGCTAAATCATATGAAGCTGATTGTTGCTTTTGTTTTGTTATATGAGAATAACATGCAATTGCTTTTAATAGTATATCATTTTTTTCAATTTTTTCTGAATCTGCATTGGTTTCAGTGTTTTTTAGGTAGGCATAGGTATATTTACTTGGCAATTTTGTTATAAACATTAAGGTATCTGCTAAGAGCTTCCAAAGGCATAAAAATTGATTTTGTTTTATAGCCCTAATAACATATTCTATTGCATGCTGAGCACAATCTCTAGCACTTCCATATAATTTAGCTGTGGCTTTTTTCTTTGCAATTTTAATCCATGTTTCTGCAATTCCTTTCAAGGACAAAAGAGAATAGGGATTAATTTCTAATACTTTTTTGAAAGTATCTATTGCATCTTCATATTGTGTCAGTAATGTATAGATATATCCAATCCTTGTAAGGCAATGAGCTGTTTTACTAGGATCAAGTGTTTTTACTTTATTGTATGCTCTTAATGCAGATGTGAAAGAACCCCTAGAATAATATGCATCGGCTAGACATTCAAATGCAATTATATCATTCTTATTACTTTTAATAACATTTCTAAAACTCACAATTGCATTTTCCCATTCTCTAATATTTAAGTAATGCAATCCTAACCTGAAATTCAACCAGGATTCATTTATTTTTATATTGTGTTCTGCTGTTGTAAGTAATTTAAAATTTTCTTCTTTCATATTCAGTTTAATATAGGTTTCACTCAAATGTTTTATACATTCACTATCTGTATTAACTAAGCTATGAGCTTTTTCATAACATTTTTTAGCCTTCAGCAAATCATTTCTGTAATTGTATACATGACCTAGATATAAAAATGTTTCTCCATGTTCAGAATTAAGCTTAGCAGATTTTAGAAGATTCATTAGACATTTTTCATATTGTTTTAAGTCCCAATATGTTTTCCCCAAATAAAACAAATTCAAGTAATTATTAGGGTTTTCTTCTAATAATATTATTGCATCTGCATATTTTCCTTGTCTTAAAAATACTTGAGCTTTAAGTCGTGAAAAATAATCAGTTGATTGTAGTAAATTAATAATTTGGTCAGGTGATTCATCAGACTCAATATAGCATTCCGCAAGAATGGCTTTCTCATCTGTATCCAAAGAATCTAAAGAAATCTGTTGAGCTGTGAAAATTGCATGACTCCATTTTTTTTGTTTTGCTAATGACAAAAACAACTTTTTTTTAAGAAACACACTGAAATTTTGATCTTTCACCTTTGTCAAAAAATTTGTAACCAGTTTTTGTGTTGTGGACCATTTTTTAAGCATAATTGTACAATTTATAATAAAAGTAGCTTCTGTAACATCAGCTTGATTATAATTTATTAATGGTATGCATTGTTTATATGCATCTAAATAATATCCTTTATCAAAATTTATCATACTTCTTAAAAGGCCAGGGTAATTAGAGTTTTCTACCCCTTCTGTGATTCTATCTATATATTGATCAATATCAAATCCAAAGAATGATTTATTCTCAACAAAGATCCGACATAAGTGTTTACATAGTAATTCTCGCAAAACAACATTTGAAGAAAAATATTTCAAATTGATTACTTCCTTAAAAGCCGAAATATAGTCACTTTGTTGTATTATAACTTTTCCACACAGAATTTCTAATTCGTCATTTGGGTCTTTTTTATATATTTCATCAAGAACTTTTAATATAATGGATATATTCTCTTCTTTACAAGGAACATCAGCTTTTAAAATATTTATAAATTGATTTTCTGCTGCTAGACGTAGTCTTTCATTACAGTTTGTATTCAAATAATTTGCAAATGTTCTAACTGACTCACTATTTTTCAAAGTACACCCAAGTTGACCTAGCTTTGCTATAACTTCTAATGTTTTGTCTTCTTCTAATTGTAATTTAAGAATTTCATCATAAACAGAGAATAACTTCAGTTTATCATCATTTTTTTCATAGTAATTGGCTAAGCCCTGCCATGCCAATGGTTGGTCAGGTTTATTTGATATAGCTTTTTGGTATGCCAAAGGAGCTTGATCAGAATCTTGAAGAGATTTCCCAAGAAGCACTAACCCCATATAATTCTGCTTATCCTTTCGTAGAATATTTTTACAGCATTCTTGAGCTTCTTTAAACTTATTTTCAACAATCAGTTTTTTTGCTTCCTTTAAAAGTGTTTTTATGTCAGCCATCTAGAACAAATATATTCAATGATATAGACCGACCGACCCCTAGTACAATATGACATACTTATTAAAGGTATTTATAATTAAATGATCCAGTATATTATAACCACTTACCGTTATAGTTAGCTTTTACAGGCATTAATGTTTTTATAGCACTAATGAGAACACTTGTAATAGTTTAAATTAAAAATTCTACAATGTTGGCAAAATTAACAGTTTAATATAATGTAATGATTAAATTTGATGTCTAATTTTTATTTTTAATGAAACCAATATTTTTCCTTTTAGTCTGAATACATGAATATGGGGAACAAAAGATTATCGAACTTGAAATATAAATAAGAAAAAAAAAATGACAATTGAATTACAGAAGACAAAATTGTATTGGTAAATACAAGAAAAGGAAAAGAAACAAGTTACAGCTGGTCCCCGGCTAAGTAAATAAGAGGTTAATCAGAATTTCTGACCAAGAAATATTTATGTAGAATATGACTTTCAACCACAGATTACAGACACTATTAGTGTTGCTAATATCGGACATTTAAAAGCAAAAAGCTACAGATTTATATAAAACCTAATAACAAGGCATTACATAGAAGGAATGATAAAATAAAAACTGTAAATCACATGGTTGCCTCCTTTCTTCTTATGCAAATATAATTAGAAAAAAGAGGACGATGCACCATCAGTTGCTATTTTTTTTTATTAATAGCAGGCTAGTGTATAAAAATGTGATATGTCAATTATTTATCAATGACAAATTTTAAATTACTAGATTATATATTCGACATAGTTTATGTAGAAAACATACAAGCAGTTTGTATATGAATTTGGTGGGGTTATACAGCTGTATAACATTTTCTATATACTAGCCTGCTATGAATTAACATTTTATCACTCCTTCTATGTAATACCTTGTTTTTAGCATGTGACTGCTCAAAAAATATATAATATAATAAATACTAAATCTATGAACTGAACTGTGTCTGTGTCATTTGGTACGCGGCATAATGTTTTTTTTTTCGAATACAGTCATTTGTATAGATTAAGGATAATACTTATCTGTGGGTCAGTAGCGATTGCAAATTACAAAATATTGCATTAAGAGATTGTTTTGGTGTTCATTCTATACAAAAAACAAAAAATACAAAAAAGCGTCACCGGTGGTAGGCATAGATACAGAATAGATTTTCATTTTCTATGTTAGCTTGCATAGATTGAGAATATTATCAGCAGTTTTGTTTGCCATAAACAAAGATTGAGCGTGTTTTACGATCTGAAATTATTTGTGAGATAAGTGGGTACTACATTATTTAAACTATTCTGCAGAATGTTATCTTTAAAACTGCCACTGTAGTTTTCTAAGTACCTAGGTACCTGGTCTGTGGGTACACTGTAGGTAAGTCTTCAAATATAGTTTCTGTCATTGCGATACATTGTGATATGACAGATGTCTGTAATTTGTACCCGTACCGAATAAGTTTATTTGAAAATGTAAACAAAACACAAGTTTTTGGATAGCAAAATAAATATTTTTGTTTGTCGCTTTCCCCCTTTTTCTTTTTGTGCTATATTTGACAGTGTTTATTCTATTATTTTCCCAGTTCATTGTTTTCTTTCATATATTACATTAATGACGAAAATGTTATCTTCACATATAACTAAACTAAGTAAATATATTGACATGATATGTTACATACTTACAATATATAAAATAATTTTATTGATAGGTTATTGTGATTACAGACCATCCGTTAAAAGAAATACGGGAACGTGCTTTCAAACTTTTGAAAGCAAAATTAGAACTAGGATGGAAGCTAGAAGATGAATTATCAAATACCAGAGAAATGTTAGAGGCTTTGTTAGCTTGGTTTCATAGCCAGCAGCAACCTACATTACAACAGGAAGTAATGCAATTATTGCATACTATAATCAAGGTTAGATAAATTAATTTATTGAAAAAATTTTAATGAAATACTATGAGTCAAAATGGAATGTTAATTCCATCTGCGCTATTGATATGCTCTGTCAGGGCACTAGTGAGAGATGATGAGAAGGAAAGCAGCTCAGTTAGCCCATCTTGACAAATTCACCAAGAGTTACCTATGATGGTTTTTAGGGGGAACTTTGTAAAGTTCAAGCTAATAGGATTATTGTGTATTTCTAGCAATGGGGCTGTTAGACCCCATTACTAATGATCTCTTTCTATTGAAAGTAATTATAACCTGGGCACATGAACTGCAATATGGTGTCATGAAATAACTATGATATCTATTGTATGTCTTACCTGTTCTCAGATGTTTTTTACATCTAATATATATAATTTATGTGTGTATATATTTATTTATTTAATTTATTATATGTATGTTTATACTATATGAATATATTATATTATTTTTTATATTCTTTCAATTCGATAATGCACCATCTACTTATTTCCCAGTTTGCCCAATGGTTGCTTGACTGGTAGAGAACACCGACTGGTGTTAAGTCGGCCATATGTACATAGTTTCACTGTGCATTAATGAAATAAAAAAATAAAATAAATAATTAATAGATTTTTACTATGATTATTTATTTGCTTTAAAAGAACCTGTTAATTGTAAATTATTATTATTTTTTAAATTTTACAAAAATTCACAAGTCCCCTCTGAAAGAGAGGAGATGGCAACTAATCCCGGCAGAAGCACATTCAGGGATTCAGGGCCCCAGGGTAAGAAACCAGCGTACAATGCGGGCAGAATCTAAGAGCACCGCTTTCTGCATCTTTTCCAGGCCGCCTCAGAATCCCCACCATCTGAGATGTTGTTTCAGACTGGTTGGGATAAGACTGTTCATTGGCAAAATGATTTATAATAAATTAATATTTACTATTAATCCCTTTATTTCACATTCATATTATTTTTTATTTTTGTGTATAGTTACATGTATGTCTATGTATATATAGATTTACCTAAGTATGAATCAATAACTTAAAATGTACATTTATAAATTTCCATTTATCATATGTATTATATCTCTATATTAATAGTATTTAAAATAATGTACAGAGTTTCATGCCCTCAGTTACATTGTTTATAATTACTCTTCTCCATCTAAAGATTGCCTGGAAGAGATAGCTCTTAGTGATAAGGCGGCCCATTGTTTTCTCAGTTTAATGTTTTCTTGTAATTGTTTGTATTTGTAACAAGTTTACAATATAAATATCAAAAATAAGTAAAATGGGTTTATACTTATTTTAGCTATTGAAGTGTTTTATCCCTTTCTTTTGTGCAGATTTCTCAATTTGAAAGAAAGTGACAAAACATTAATAATTAAAATAGGTTTGTATGATGGTTTAGTTTTTATGAATAAGGGGATAAGAGGTTTTCTTTTTAATGGGTGATAATGAAATGGTAACCCCATCTGTGCTAACAGTATATGCTGGTCAGGCACCAGTGAAGGATAATAGGTGAAAATAAAAAGGCAAGTCAGTTAGCCCTTTGTGATGAGTGCATTTGGAGTTCAGCTTGATGATTTTTAGGAGGAAATATGGGGAAGTTGACCTGACGGGGTGTAGAGATGGGACTGGTAGTAGTCTGCATTACTAACAATCTTCCTTTAGGGTTTGTCTCCATAATGTGTAATTGTATTTAAAATTGTCATATCATAGAGAGTAATGATGTCTATTTTAGACTAAAGCTGGGACATATATTTGTAAAGAGTTTGGGATTGAAAACATTTTATCTAGCCTAGATCAAGTGAAAGGTAAAATTGATGACAATACGTTGGAAATTTATGAAGATGTGATAGAAACACTCCGCTTTTTAAATACAGTGGAATCAGAGGAGAATGTAAGAGTTCCACGGCTTATTTTGCCTTCTGGATCAAGGTTTGTATAAATTTGATATAATTCTGGCTTAGAATACCTGGTTAGTAGTGGGAATTAGATCATTATATAATCTTGCTAATAATGTCATTATGATTTTTCAGTTTAGAAAGTGATGATGCATCATCATGCAGTGGTTATTATAACTTGGGACAGAATTTTCAATCATCGAAAGAGACATCTGTTTCCAATGAAGAGATGGAAAACAATACAACAGATTTGTTAGTATTAAAATTATTGTTTTTATTTATCTAGTAGTTGTTAACAGCAAAAAACTTGTCCCTTCATGCCAAATACTATGTACACTCGCGAGCAACCAAATCGACTGAACCCTTGACGGCGCACATATGCATTGATTTTTCTAAAACGACAAATGTCAATTATAAAAATGATTCGAAAGTTTAAGATGTCAGCTTTAATTTGATATTATTATCATTGAAATCCATAAATTATTTCTTAAGTAAATAATGTCTGAACGTAAGAGTAGGAAAAATGGGAATTTAGGAAAAGGGCCTAGGTCCCGTATTTTGGAAATTAAACAAAATATGGTACAAATTAAAAAAATAATTATTCAAGATTTCAAGATTTTTATTTATTTGTAAAACATGCGTATAAATACATGCAGATGTTGACAATATAATATCGTTCGACATGTTTAGCCTGTACGGCATACAAAAATACGAGTATGTAGTTACACACATAGTTCACATTATACATCAAGTCCATTTTATACCGTTAATCGTCATCACATTCCAATTTTAAATACATTTAAATAAATAATAATTGTCAGGCAAGAATAAAAAAACGATGTCACAATGATGTTAATAAATATAAATAAGTATTCGTTTTGTCAAATTTTATCATTAAATAATTCACATACATTGTAATAACATTTATCGATTAAGAATATTTTTAATTTGTACTTAAATACATTAATTTGTACATCCTTTATAGATTCTTTATTAAATCAATACTTTGTATTGCTCCTTTTAGCCCTTATTACAGCCTGCAGTCTGTTTTTCATTGATCTTATCAATTTTTTGGCATTTTTTTGAGGAATGCCGTCCCACTCCTCTAACAATGCTGCCTTTAGATCGTCTACGCTTGAAGGGACTGGATTCCTGGCCCGAACTCTTCTTTTAAGTTCGTCCCATAAGTGCTCGGTGCGATTCATATCCGGGGTGAGCGCAGGCCAGTCCATTGTGCGCAATTCGACCTCTTCAAGAAACTGCCGAGTGACTCATGCCGTGTGACAGCGGGCATTGTCGTGCATTAACACGAAGTATTCGCCGACAAATCCTGCGTAGGGTACAACATAATCGAGTAGTATGTCGGTAATGTACCGATCAGCTGTTAGCTCGCCTCCTCGGCCGCCCCCAGGCACGTAAACAAGCTCAGTTTTTCCCTCTAAGGAAATACTACCCCACATCATGCAGGAGCCGCCGCCATACGCCACTGTTTCAGCAAAACAGCATTGGGAAAATCGTTCCCCCGGACGCCTGTAAACTCGGTCTCTCCTGTCACTGCCATGCAGATACATTCTGAACTCATCAGTAAACAGTACCGACCGCCAATGCGCAACGCTCCAATTGAGATGCTCTCGAGCAAATTGAAGGCGCGCTTGTCGGTGGCCTGCAGTTAATTTGGGGCCCGTCGCAGGTCTTTTTGGTGGCAAGTTGGCGTCCTTCAAGCACCCCTCGTACACGTCTCAGCTCCTGCTGCACATAAACACCCGTAAGGTGTTGATTGCGCAGCGAGGTTGTGACAATGAAGCGAACGTCTCTCTCTGAAGTGCACCGGTGGCGGCTCGTTCTTGGTCTCCGATTGAACTCACCAGTCTCTTGAAACCGTTTGTATACTCGGGATACAGCAGACTGGCTCAAGTGGAGCTGGGCAGCGACTGCTCGCTGGCTTAACCCTTGTCGCAATAAGGCAACAACTTGAGCGGCTTCTTCTGGTGTGGTATCCATGGTTTCCCAAAATCAAGGAATGCAATTTACTGAGATGTATACCGGTCAACTTGTGATAAGCGACTGATAAGGTAAACCGGGCGTGGCGGGCGGGTTTTATAGCGGGGGCAGGTAGTGCAACTCGTGGATGAAGCAAATTTTCTCTGACGCCCAATTAAAATGCGTCATTAAATCAGCGCTTAAGTTTTTTTTAGGGTATTGATGTTAAATGAGAGCATAATTCTTCAGCTTTCGAATGACATATCATTTTTGTAATTGACATTTGTTGTTTTAGTAAAATCAATGCATATGTTCGCCGTCAAGGGTTGAGTTGATTTAGTTGCTCGTGAGTGTATATGCTAAATTTCACGACTTCATCTTAACATTTTAGAAGAATCATCAACATTTCAGAAACATTTTAAGTTATATACATAAATAGTGAAATATATTTCTAGAATCACAGATGTGGATTTAAACTGTTTTTAAATTAGGTGAAATAGAAAATTGTGTTGTCCTATATAAAATTTTTGAAACAAAAACAGCATGACAGTTAAAATATTTTAGTGTGGATAGGAATTGCCTTTCAATATTTGTTTGCTATTATTAGCTCTAGCCTTATAATAAAAACACGAGATTAGAGCAATGACCCTTTCCTTAAAAAATACTATATGTAACTCAACACATTTTAAACTAATAGGGAATAAAATTGCTATCATAGATTTTATAACTTCAAATCAAAAGTGATATATTTAGTTTTCATATATGTTCTGTTACTATGTCATCCCTAGCTATATCTGTGTCTAGAATAAATAGGTTTCTGTAATAATTAATCTACTAATCATTTCTTACGGCTTGCTTGCGTAATTTAGTATATAAAGTATCCTATACTTTAAGTTAAGATATAACTAAGTTATGTACCAAATTTCGTCCAAATCTGTTTAGTTGTTTAAGCATGATTGAGTAATATTCAATAATCTATTTATCAGTGCGAGATTTTGTAGAAATGTGTTTGCTTAGATACTTCTGTCACATTCTTGTTTCTGCCGTGAAGCAGTTTTCTTTGTATGATTGTGTTTCATTTTGTAGGGTGGAATATGGCAATGAAATGACAGGGTACAGAAGCAAAACATCTTAGTCATCATGGCAACGCATGGAGGTTATCATGGGCGACAGTATACTCTGTTATGTCCATTATAGTTTTCATGTCTATAGGAGCAGTTATCACTTTCCATCAGGTGGGCCGTCAGCTAGTTTGCCATTCTAAGCTGCATAAAAAGAATCTATTATAATTTATCATTATTAAATCGCTCTTATTTTTTAATCACTAATTTTGAAAGAAGTGAGATATGTTAAAATACGTTTATATTGCTTCAGGACAAAGACTACAGAGGGTATCAGGATACTTTTATTTCCCTGGGTGGAGTTAAGTCAATCGGATTTGAAGACACTAATTCTTATTGAAGATGCCCTAAGACTGTTAAAGTCCACGAGAAGATGCTGTCGGTTTATCCGTGATGTGTTTTTACGTGACTTTCCCCCCGAAATTTTTTTAAATCGACCAAGAATAATAAAGGTATATATGTATATACAAGAATAATAATAGAATAATTATTCTTAACCCTCCGCTAACCGTATAGTACAATATCGTCCGTGCCAAGTCTTGAAAAAGTATGTAAAAAAAATTAGTACTCTCGAAAAAGTCTGTAAAAAAATTTACACACGCGCGTACCTCACAGGCAAGGTTTTGAAAGGAGCTTATATGAAGAATAAATCTCCAAAACATTTCTTCTTAAAACTAATTTATATCCAAAACATCGATTTTCTAGTGAAATCTTAGAAATTACGTTTTTTGTAGAGATTACAAAATTGACTTCATTACTTTACCTCAATCCCATCAATAGTCATCCCATCAGAAGTCAAAAACTATTGAAACAGAAAAAAAAATCTAGAACATATTCCCCGAATTTTTTTGGAATTTTTCCCTACCTTTAAGTAGGTCAAATTATCGTCTGGGAAGATATCATCGTCCTTGACGGTTGACAGTGTGCAAAAAAAACACGGTTGGCGGAGGGTTAATTGTATTTAAGTTGACATTTTTTACTAGATGTAAACCGTGACATTGACTGTTAATAAAGAAATAAGTGTTAAAATGGCGGAGACGATTTTTGGCTTACGCAAATATATGATTGACTTGCGCGGAGACTAGAGATTAAACGCATAGCAGTTTGGCCGGATACCGGATATCGGATACCGGATACCGGATATTCGGCCAACTATGTGGTCGAATAGCCGGATATTCGGCTGCCGGATATCCGACTTTGTAAGTGCGAATTTATCGCAATCGTGACCCTTATTCTTGGTGGGCAGCTAATGCCAAACAATACCCAAATTTAACAAAGTTTGCTAAAATCTATCTTTTGGCACTTTGTAGCAGTGTGTACAGCGAAAGACTTTTTTGAAGCTGTCCTAATTTATGAAGAGATGCGAAACCGCTTACTACTTCTCAATGCAGAGGAATTAGTATTTATTCACCATAATTTACCCTTAGTGCAGTATGAGTACTAATTAATTTATTTTCTTTCTATTACATTCATTTGCTATTGTGTGATTAAAAATTTTAAACTAAACCTAATTATATTTGTTAAGTGATGCTAAGACTAACTAAATAAAGCAAATAATTAGTTGAAAATATTTTTTTTTATCCAGATTTTTTAATTCGGCGGGTTGCCTATCCGGCCAAATAGTAATTTTCCGGTATTCGGCCAGATAATATTAAGGCCGCCAGATAGGCCGGATACCGGATAGTTACCGGATATCCGTTTCATCTCTAATCGAGACACATTGACGAATGACCGAGATCAATTTATAGTGATATCTAAAATACTATATCAAAGTACCTATTTAGTTTCTAGCAAAATTTATTTAAAAAATACTACTAATCACTTCCAGAGCTTTTAATCTTCGGACAAGTTGGCTTATTATTTTTTTAATGAAAAACTCTCATAGATTAACGAAAATAATAAGTCTTGAATGGTGTTATTATTAAACATAATCTTTTTTTATTCTCAATAAGATATTTATTTAGGTACCTATTTTTTTTTGTATCAGCCGTTAACCATCCACTGCTGAACATGGCCTCCCTCATAAGGGGGATTTTGCCAGTAGTTGCTACGCTTGGCAGGTGTGTTGGCAACCGCAGCTTGGCTTTTAGTGACGTTTTAAGAGGGTCACTGCTGCCTATCCCTCGACCATAAGCTCGCATAGTCACTTCTATGTAAATATATATACTGAAAATTTAATGTATTTAATTATACTACCATATGAACAAAAGTCTTGTAGATATTTAGTAAGTTTTTCCTTATAATGTTCACTAATAGCAAAATATACTACACTTTATTATTTTCTTGCAGAGTTTGCTTTCAATGTTAGAAGGAGTAAACGGCGGAGGACCAGGCGAAGCTTTGCAAGTACTATTGTATATCACTCGTGCTCTACGTAAACGACTTTTACAATTTTCCAGTTTAGACTTAACATATGAAACCAATAAGGTAATGTATCTGCGTATTGATAATTTTTTGAGAGCATATTAATTAATTTATTAAGATTTTTAAATTATGAGGACGTTTAGCAAACGAAAGTTGCCCACTTTATTATTTGTTGATTTTTTTTATACCACAAATGTGGCATTTAACTAGCATTCAGCCTGTCTGATGGTAAATGGTTGCTGAAGACTATGCATGCCTGTATCAGTAGGGTGTCACGTAACTTATAATTCTCGATTATTTTTAATTGAAATACATGTAATAAAAATTTTTAAATACAATTTTAATAGTAATAACTACAACTATTTATACTATGATAATTTAAATGTTTTTATAGTTTTATGCATTCAATGTATTACACAGTTTTCAGTGGAGAACAAGGAATTGGATGACAATATAAATATAGAACTTGAGCATATTACTAGCGGTGATGGTGTACTTCATATGCCTGATGAGGAAGATGGTCTAGCTGCTTTGATACAACTATCTACTCCTATATACACACTAGACACTTTACAATCTGTACTATCCACAATGGCTAGAAGTGTTGTACTGGTTAACCCTGTTGAAAAGACTGAAGTTTTAGATTTGGTATTGATTAATTGTTGTTATATTATCATACGTTTTCACATAACATTATGTTACGTTTTTGTAATTTTTCATTTTCCAGAAAGAACTGAACATACGTTTAAGTTTAGTTGAGTGTCTTGTAAAGTTCTTAATAGATTGTGTCAGTGATAGTTTTTGGAGCATAGATCACAATTCAAAAATTCTTAGAGACATAAGCCATAAAAGTTGCATGATTATGCGTTTACTGGGAGACCTTTTAATGAAGTACAGGTATTTGATTTTTTTTCACAAACTTTAAATTTTAAATTTAATTTCTACACGAAATATAATCTAAATATAATAATCCTTTTCAGAAAATCTTTTAGTGAAGATTCATCAAGAAAACATCATCGTGTTGCATGGTTACGCTTAGTGCAATGCGCTGAGAATCTCTTAAGTTGGGCGCAGGAGTCTGCAATGCCTCCTTCTTCATTGGTGTTAGCTCTGCAGATAGCTCAGCTTGATTCAGGACTGCAGTTGTTATATCCGGAAATAAGTAGAAAAATCGCAATAGCTTTGCAGGTTTGTTTCATTCATTAAAAGAAATAGCATATCTATATATCAATATTTAGCGGCATTTATCATCATTGGTGTATTTATTTTCCGGGTAGAGGGAGGGGAGTGATGGGGGTTGGTTTCTCAAAAAGAACACATAATGTACTCTTAGACATGTTTTATACAAAACTAAAAATTCCGCTTTAGAACTGCATCCGGCCGCCCCTACTAAAATTAAAAGCATGTCGCTATAATTAATAAAGTAAAAATGATGTTATTAAAAAATAGCATGCAATTTGTTTTACAGAATGCGAGAACCTCTGTTGATCAGGAACACAAAAGCAAATATAGAGAGTTAATAAAATTATTTTCTTGTATGGAAGATGCTGTTCAATTTATGAAAAATAAGAGCACCTGCCGCGACACCAAGAGAGTTTTAACTTGCATAAAGAAATCTCTTCCTGTTTTAGAATTGCATCTGAGTGAAACATATTTAAAAGATGTAGGGAATATTTTGTTGAACAAAGTGAAAGATTTTAATTTGAACGATAACGATTGGTCTGTTGCACGCAGTATTGCTTTAAAGCTTATGGCCCATAAATTAGATTGGGTGCGAGCAAAATTTTATATAATGATGGCGGATATGGTGAAATTAGTGTTAGTCAGTGATGATGTCCAACAATTAGATAATGAAAACAGATTGATGTTGCTGTGTGATGTAGAAATACTAACAGAGATCTGTTGCCATGGACTGTCTTCTAAAATAAAAGAGGTTAGTAGTTCTTAATTACGTACAGTACACAATCAGGTTTACTCAAACATCATTAATTATTATTTTGTTATAGGTTGAAAGCAGCGCGTCTGATATTATGTTATACTTACTGCGCGGACGCTTAGTACTGAGTGAGAGTTGTTGGTGGAGACTATTGGCCAGCCTGCTACCAGTGCTGCCACTCTTGCACGTGTACGCTGCGCATGACACACAACTAGGTGAATTAACAATGTAATATTTGTAAGCCGACTCCTGGTCGGTCTTGGAGAATGGCGCACTAGCGCCACATTTCATTCATACTAGCTTTCTGTCCGCTACTTCGTACGCGTGGACTTTAGAAGTAGGGAAACCAATGAAATGGATCGCTTCTAGATCAAACATATACCAGATTTTAGTTCGACTTTCAGGCAATAACTTTGAAAACTGCATACAATTTGATGTAATAGTTTTTGCGTGATGTTTAAACTTCTATTGCTCTTATTTAAATCACTCATATATTTTTTTTAAATATCTTCCATATACAGATATTGTCTAGTTACAATTTTATTATATTAGTATGATTATTTTATGTGTTTATAATTTATTTAAATGGTTTTGGCAAGATTTTATATAATAAAAGTGAGTTATCTAACGAAACAGCTTGGAATAGAATTAACATTTTATTTATTGAATAACTCTTAAGTACTTAATGTATTGATGCATTTAATTTTTATAACTTGAATGTTACTACTAACATTTTTTCTATTGTTGTTAAAACTGTAATTAAATTAAAATATTTGATATACGATATTGTAGGTCAAGCGATTTGGAAATCTCTGGAAGCTGAGATAGCAAATTGTATGGGAGTGCCAGACGCGGATGCGCTGTGGGGACGAGTGCGCCTTTTGTTCGTGCGCTGCGTTGCTATACAGCTTGAAGCCGCACAATACATTTGCCATTCATTAGGTCTGTTTGTATATTTAATTCTTTGATTAATTTAATTATTAATAATGTTTCGTCTTTATGTATATTTGTTTGTAATGGATAAACTCAAAACTCACCTATAGAAGGCTACATTATCAGCGAGTAACATAAATTTCATATTATATAAAAAAATTAAAGATTATTACGAAAATTACAAGAATGTAATCCAAGGTATCAAAAATCTACTTATAAAAGTCATTATTTGGCAGGCACTGCAAAAACTATTAATGATACATAAAAAAATATAATACAAATTTATCGTACTCATCATAACTACAAAAAAATCTACGAGGCTACATTTGTTTATTATTTCAGCCGTTAACTGTCCACTGGACATAAACCTTCCCCATAAAGGGAGTTTTGCTAGTAGTTGCCACGCTTGGCAACCGCAGTTAGGTTTTTAGAGAAGTTTATAAGGGACGCTGCTGCCCATCCCTCGCCCTCCCTTAGTCGGCTCTTACGACACCCACGGGAAAGGAAGGGGTGATCCATTCTATGCCGGGCCATACACGGCGGGGCTATATAATATAATAACTGTTATAATCAAGTCACGATAATAGTTTTTTTTAAATAAGCCACTCAAAATACGGGTAAAATCGAAAAGTGATGATATTCGTATAATAATATTTATATTTATCTAACTAAATAGTTTCATAATCAAGGTAGATTACAAGGTAATAAATGTTTAAATTATTTGAATAGAACCTTTTGTTTACAAGTTACGATGGGTATAAAAATGCTGAAAGTAAGAAACTACCCGTGCCAAGTCGGGTCGCTAGCTAGTTATTACTTTAGACGTGTATGAACAATTCACGATGCAACTATTAGTTTAAACCGACGATTTTATTGTTATACTTGTATGCATTACGATTTTAATATTTAAATTAATATATTAATTTTTTAGATGACGAAAAATATTTACCTCCAAAAGAAGCCTTACGATCTGATGTACTTTTGAATGCTTTAAGAAGAGTAGAAGTTAACGATTTTAATATAGATTCTTCTAGTTCTCCTTCGAAAACTCCTCAGGTTTGTTTACATAAAAAATATTTACCAGAGGGAGACTTTGTACAAAAGTCGATTGCTTGGGTACCTCTGTCCCATTCATGTTTCAACCGTGAAGCAGTTGTATTTGCATGGCTATTTTGAAGGTTTGAAGGGTGGGATATAGCAGTGAATTTACAGGGTACAGAGGAATAACATTTGAGTCCTCAGGAATGGCAACGCATGGGGGGTATCATGGGCGAAACAGTATACTCTGTTATGTCCATGGTACTGCTCATGTCTATAGGCGACGGTTACTACTTTGTTTTCGTTTGAATAATTCGTATTATTTAAATATATCTAATTTTTTTTTTTTATACAACATATACAACATAGAATGGGACATAACAGAGTATACTGTTTCGCCCATGATACCCCCATGCGTTCCCATTCTTGAGGACTTAGACGACCCACACAGCCATGTAAACCCAACTGATGGAAAGTCATTAAAGTCTTCTCATTTACTTCTTCAGGATTAACAATGTTTGTTATAATTATTTGTGATGTCCATTTTATTACAATCGAATAGTTTAGAAGATCTAAAATAGACAAAGCACAGATAATTTGATAGGCAGTGTATGCAATATATGATTATATTATTTATATGATCATCAGCTTTACATATCTTTATTTTAAATAATATTGTTCTGCATTTATTACTATAAATATAACTCAGTCGTTAATAAGTAATAATGTTTAATATTTTTTTCTGAAGTGTGTTAAATTAAATTGTATTAACATATTTAAGACAACGGGACTACTACAAATATTGGATGTACTGAAGCAAGATTTAGTTTTGGACGAAGATGGTGCTCTACTAAGGAGTCACTCAGGCCGGATGGCATTGGAGCCGTCACTGCGCCGTAGCACGCTCCAGCAGTTGGCCGTGATGATGAGACAGCAGGAGTTGCACGACACCTTCCTACAACATGACGGGCTCAGTCTCACTGTTGCTATACTTAGGTGAGTTTCATTATTATTGGCGTATTTAAGATTATAGGTATTGTTTTGTCGTATGGCCCCGGTATAGAATGGACCACCCCTGTCTTTCCTGTGGGTGTCGAAAGAAACGACTAAGTGAACTTGATGGTCGAGATACGGGCAAAAGCGTCCCTCTTAAAACATTACCAAAGCCTAACTGTACTTGGCAACATGCCTACCAACTACTGGCAAAACCCTTTTTAATGGGGGAGGCGTATTTACTTTTTGTTACTGTCTGATATAGTTTTTTTTAATGGATGATAATGGAATGGCAATCCCACCCGCGCTATCAGTATACACCGGCGGGGCACCAGTGAAGGATGATAGGTCAGTATGAAGTAGGTCAGTTAGCCTATCGTGACGAATTCAACAAGAATTGTTCACGATGGTTTCCAGGGGGAACCACGAGGAGGTCGACCTAATAAGGCATATTGCTAGCAATGGGGCTGTCAAACTTCATTGTTAATAATCCCTTTCCCCCCTGTATGATATGGTATGGTATGGTAGGTATTGTTACATTGATTGCAGGTAGGTATTGTACGTGCCATTCCGTGTACGTAAGGTAGTATAGTTTGAATGCCATGTAACTTTGACGTATTTTTTTTTAATTACAGACTGTCGCTTATGGTGGATGATTATCTCGCCTTCCCCGAATGCGCTATTAGCTGTGTATCCATACTAAATAGTGTCTGTTTTGCTAGTCGCCACAATTTGATGAAGATACCAGACTTGGCGACATTATTGATTAGAGGTAAGTTCAGTTTTTTATATACTAGATTTTACCAGTGACTTCGTTCGTTGACCGGGATGTATTGACTAACTGAGACACAAAGTAGCCTATATTCTTCTCCATCTCATATAATACATATAGTAATAAAATGAGCCGTTGCGGTGCTAAGACGTAATAAACAAACAAACAAACTTATGTATTTATAATATAAGTAAAGATTTACATATATGTAGATATTGATGGAAATGTTTCAGAAATTGATACGTCGTATATTATTGTCTCAATTGTCTTTCTAATCTAAATTTGCATATTGACCATAAATCAATTACGTGCTTATACTTGTGACGGTTCGCCTATAGTACAATAGGTTTAATACCATAAGTATTTATAAGCACTTACAATTTTAAGTATATATTTTTAAACAAACTTTAAAGTCAAGGTTCACAATAGCGTATAGAGAAGACGTTACCATATATGAAATATTGACACAGAAGGAAAACTCCTTTGATGTGTTTTCTTTGAAAAAGTAGTGGATGTCACAAGAAAATTAAATAAATTAAACAAAAATATATTATATCTTATATATAACCAAATTATAGTTTACTTTTTATCATCAGGTGTAAAAAGGATGCATACAACACAGTTTAATAAGGTTTATGAGAGTCTTTAAAGTTTTATAAATTCGATAATCAATTTAATAGAAAATACCAAAATACGTTAACATATAATTAAATTGAATTTGAAGAAAAGTTCAGTTCGAATAATGGGCATCATTATTGAAATATCAATTCGGTGAGATAATCTATGACGTTACTAGGTGAGAAAAAAAGAAAAAGAGGAGAGCCGGCAGATCGGCGGGCGCGCGGGAGTCGGTTTTAGGAATAAATAAAAAAAGAAAAAAAAAAAAAAAAGGAAAATGGCGGGGAGTCGCTTTTTAGGAATTGCGCAATGAAAAAGAAAAAGAAAAAAAAGGATGGCGGGGGAGTCGTGTTTTAGGGATGGCGCAATAAAATAAAAAAATAACTAGGATATAGATCTAGGAGGGACTTTCGATGAAGGGGTTTGAGATCTTAGTGTATCACTATGGATTAAGTGTGTGAAATTAATCAATAGAAGACTGGAGAATCCGGTGAGCTTGTTCCATTTATTACTACGTAGTTAGATTTTTGACTGTGATCACAGGCAAAGTCTATACTTAATATTTTTCCCAACAACTATTAGTCCATATACCTTTAGGTAATGCGTATATCGTTAAATGCAATCACATTTGAACAAAGTTTACATCAATATAATTTACGTACTTACGTTATTCATTATACAAAATCCAATTATATGGTCGTTTGATAGAACTTCATTACATTCAATGTTCTAATTGTCCAGTTTGGAAAATACTTATTGAATCAACTATTGAACTAGTTTCATATCTAGTTATTATAAAGTATTTATTTATTGAGGATAATAGACTAAAGTGACTATGGTCTGGTCTCATTGCTGGGGAAACAGCCATTGATGAGAGAGAGGGGTTATTGGTGGCGATGTGAATGCGCGGTGTGGGCTACCTCCATTGTTTGGAGTGACTGTTTTATGTGTATTGTGGAGCCGTTCCTTGTGTCAGTCGGTGGAAATTGCCTGTGTTCAGTCGTGGGTTGGTGATGGTTGAGACGATGATGATGATGAAATATTTGTATTTATTACACTATTACAGTGTTGGTTTGGAATATCTGTTCATACTTAACGCTTCATGGTGAAGTGTTTTCATACCATTCCCAATGACTAATGATTCTTAGTCTATATTTGATTATCCATGACTACATGTGGGGATTTGTTTTACACACATGTACAAAGAGACAGCTTAACTGTTATGATATTATGTGAATGTAATACTTTTAATACATTATTAATTGTGTTACTAGATAAATTCATGTGACTGTGGGGTGTTTATGGTAAACAATATTGTTTAAATAGATATTTTGTCTTGATTTATTATAAACTTTAATATTGATTTTGTTGTAGTAAGCAAGCTGATAATAACAATTCTGTGTGTATTACTGATTACTAAGAATATTTAATTATATATTATAGGTATTAATTTCCTAATGGTAATAAAAGTACTAAAAGATTCTCTGACTATAGTTACTCTTAACTAGGTATGAGGGTCAGTATACAATTGGTACTGTCTGCCTTGTGAAGCTATGGATTTTACTCATATTTAGAAAGGAAGTTGTCCAAATATATGTGTGTTGTTTGTTCATGTTATATTGACTAGACAAGTTCAGACAGGGTTAATATTAATGAATATTTACTGGATTTATATTTAATATACATGTTTTGAATATTTTATGGGAATAGTATGGAGATATACAAGTAGTAAAATATAATATTAGTATTTTATAAATTTAATTATTGAGTTATATGTTTATGTCGGACTGTATCCAGGGAGATATTATCCTATTAATATCAAGTTAGGACAATTACTTTAAATATTAATAAAGCAAACACTAACACTGATTATTCACTTCTTTAATAAATTTACATTAGAGGTTAGGAATCAAATAGATAGCATATTGGGAAATCTTCATCACATGTATTTGAGGAATGTTCTTGATAATTAGACTGTATGTATATATTATTGCAAGTACAATTGCAATAAGAATGTTAAGCTTCTAATCTTCTGTTCATTCTTGAATTTGAAAGTAAGCTTGGCTACTGATATGAATATAAAACTGCAGCATTACTGGATACTATTAATTATTACTGGTGTAAACCATGATTATTTATGTCACTGATAATTTAGTTGTATATTACGGTTGATATATGATGATTTTATATTTAATTATATTAAAAAAATACAAATAAACAAACTTGCTAGTATTTGTTACGTTGACAGTTGTGATAGATAATCAAAATTCAATTCAATACATCAATACGTCATTCAATACTTCATTAATGTGACAAATGTCAAACAAAAGGAGATTATACAATGATTCTATATCTAAGTCTATGAAAATTTATATAATTTTCTGTTATTTTTAATAACTGTAGGGGAAATATTGGAATTATTTATATGAAAAATTTCACTTAAATGATATGATAATTATTTAAAGACCTAATTTCTTATTTAATCATGAAATTTAAACACTAGAACACTTGATTAAAAACAGAAATCCTCTTAGTAAATAGGTTTACTAAGACACTAAAAGGAAGTAGATATAGTATAGCTATAGTACAGCTACAATAATTGTATGGGACTTACTGTCCTTTCTATACAAATATATATTTAATCTATATCTTTCACATTATAATTATGCAATATATTGCCCCTACTACTACAACATACACAAATAGGACTTATTGTCCTTCCTATATACCTATATATAATAATTGACCTGGCACTTTAATGTGTAATTTATCAGTACTTATGACAACAACCAATTATGACTTATAGTCCTCTCTATAAAGCTACATAATTATTTAATCTGATTATTTCACAATGTGATTAATCAAAAGTCTACAAATATTACAAAAGATCTCTATTACTCTCAACACAATAATAGCTTGTTGGACTTAGTGTCCTCAAACTTATAGAAAACCCAACTGGTTATTTCACGAGAATTGTTATATATGTGATTAATCAGTGTCTTTTAATATATAGTTCCTTTAGATATATCTCTCTGAATAAATAATTGGTTAATTCACAATGTGGTTAATCAACAATAATATTATATATAATTGACTGGACTTATAGTTCATTCAATAGAATTACTTTTAGTAGCTCTTAGTGGGTGGGACTACTCGTGGCGAGCCGCAATCAACAGATATAACTTGAACCTTGAGTATTCTTGGTATTAAGTAAATAATATTAAATTGACAATGCTATGTTATGATATAGCAATTATCAACATTATATGGCTTGGCCAATTCCAGGGTGTGGAAGGTATCCCCTATCACACAAATCTTCATCTCTCTCGGACTGTCTTCACAGGTGATCTCTAATGTCACATTATAGGGCCGAAGGGTTATGTCCCATCAAAGTAGGTTCTGGTGTCTGGGTGATCTCGCTTCTTGGTCTGATCTCTTGTGGAGCCGCGCCCCCATTGAGTAAGCTGTAACAGGGTGACCAGTTTCGTACTGTTAGTGGGTGATCTCTATCTCGCCATATAGTACTGAAAGGGTCATCGCCCATGAGTAAGCTCTCGTGTCGGATGATCCTGGGATTTCAGTTCAACTTTTTGCCTCTGGCAAACACCAATTTATACTGGAAGCATATAACTGGTGGAGCCACTGTAATGTTGAAGTAAATGTACTTATGTTTGGTTTGGAACTGAGAATACTCATTCCCTTATTACCATCAGAGTGCATTAATAAATAGTATTTTCCTTTTAGGAGGAAGAGTTATAGATAGTTGGAAAGTCTTCCACTGGAGAGATGTGAGGGGCCCGACCGCTCCCCCATTTTTTTTTTTTTTTTATTATTACAGTTATACTGTAATTTACTATTAAAATAACATAACTTCCTAGTTACATGAATTATGAGTATAATTCATTAATTATTCTTAATCCTTAAAGCTTTATCAATTATCTTCATTATTTAACTCCTATCATATACCAATTAAAGAACCTTTTGGTTATTACACACACAACGGGTCCTACATTTCTAGACGATCACACATTTATTTATTTGGCCAAATGATCAAGTGTTCTATTATAAGATCTGTTCAATATTATGTATTTATTGTAAGGGTTTATATGATTCATAGGTTGTTTGGGGTGTATAATACAATATAGGTATGGGGTTATATTGAGAGTGTTAGGCCTTTCTTTAGGGTAGATTTTCATTATATTTTCATAGATTTCATTAGAAAGCCTTCGTAGGCTTTTCTTAGGCTTTGTAGGTTTTCCATGTGTAGCTTAGTTTAGAGGGTAGTTATTATAAGGGGTGCAAAGGGGGGGACCATCACATACTTCGGCCGCTCATTTTGTGGCCGGTGTATTTATAAGCACTTACAATTTTAAGTATATATTTTTAATTACGTTTAAACTTCTGTCTGTACAAAAACTGTTTTCGACGAGGAACATTGTTAGCGAGATAGACGTGTTTACATTATTAGCTTTTTTCACTATTTCACGTACTTTTTTTGCTCGTCTCTGTAGAATTGAATAGAGTGTAAACGAGGTATCATCATCATCATTTATCAATCGTTACTTTCCATTGCTGAAGATAGGCTAAAGATACACCTATTTTTTTGCGTTTTGCTAGTATTTGCCACGCTTGGCAACCGCAGTTAAGTTTTTGGTGATCTTTTTAGAGGAACGGTGCTACCTCTCTACCATTAAGTACCCTTAGTTGTCTTTTATGATACCAACGGGAAAGAAAAAGGGGATCCATTCTATCTAGGACTACACGGCAGTGAATGAGGCATGAAAAAAATTGGTCCATTGTAAACCTATGTATTAGCTCAACACACGTCTAACGATGGTACCCAGATATTTATTCCTCGATTTCCCACCAGTGATCCTGGTATTCCCGGCCCACGAGTCTGTGGTGGCTATGTCGGCGCAGGTGTTGTCGCTGACAGCGTGGGCGGGTTTCGCGCTACAGGAGCTGTCAGAACGGCGCCGTGTGCCCGCGCTTCCCGCCGCGGTCTACCAGCGAACTGTGCTACCATTCGTCGCCAGCACTTACTGGCATACCAGTCCCAATGCAGAGCATTCTTCTATAGGTCAGTGGTTATCACACATATACATACATATTTATATACATTTCTCAACGGAACATTGGTCCTATACAGTCTATATACGATACACATAAAACTGAGTGTTGAAGATTATTTCTTGCCTCATTGAATTACTAATGTATACTCGAAAAGTAAAAATATTGACTTTTGTTTTCTATAAATAATCTAGGGAAGCTAGAGCTGTCATTTCTGAGTCATTTTAAAATATGAATATTCCTCTGTTTGTTACGTCAACACAAGATAATAAAATGCAATATATCATAACTAGGTATTAGTCCAATTTACGAACAGGCTTAACCAATCCGTTTATGAAAATGCCTTTAAATGAAACTGATGTTAGTATGAAATAATATTACTTTGTATATTATTATATTAATTTCCACTGTAATATATATTAATTATGTTTTATAATAATAACAAGTTCTCGGAAAAAGTAAAAGTACTATATGACCCTTATTCGCAGAATGGCTACTTAGTGAGGAGTCATGGCGAGCCGCAATCCGCGTTCGTTGGTGGTGCAGCTATTATAATGGTGTCGCTCGGTTGCTTCGGGGTCCCTTGAGTCCGTCCCAGGACGCTCCGCCGGCCCCGCTGTCCCTGCGGCCGACGCCCAGCGATCTGTGTGCGCTACAAGCCGCCTGTCCGCTCCGCGCCGCTTCTGACACCTTATTAGCACTCGAAAACGCTACTTCCCATAGGCAGGTCAATGACGCGCTCAACGTTCTCGAAAGGTAATTAAGATATAACTGTGACATAATTTGAACCTATCTTGTTAGTACTATTGTGTTTATTGAACAGCATTTTTCCTTGAAGCATTCGATACTGGAAATGCATGGAGAGATATTTGGTATGTATTATCGAGTCTTGATTGCAGTGATTGGTAAAGTATAACTTATTAATTTTTTTCAAAAATATTTCGAAAATTTCATATTATCGTACTCTAGTAACTTGACTCTCATGGCTACAGTATCGTACTATAAAGGACTATTATAGTTGCAGCTTAGAAAAGTTTAAAATATCGCCTTGGTCGTTTACATTGTAATATAACATAAAGAGTTACTACCACTAACATAAAGAGTCGCCGTGTGTGCCTCGGCATAGAACGGGTCACCCCTTTTCCGTGGGTGTCGTTCAGAGAAGACTAAGGAAGAGCGAGGGATGGGCAGCAACGTCCCTTTTAAAAGATCTCTAAACGCCTAACTGCGGTTGCTATCCCGCCTGCCAAGCCTGGCAACTACTAGCAAAACTCCCCTTATGGGGAAGGCTTATGTCCAGCAGTGGATAGTTAACGGCTGAAATAATAATAATAATGAGTTACAAATTTTCGTAGTTACTTGAATTTACTACCGTCGTCGTGTGTGACCGGTGCGGAGTTGGCCGCGTTGCCGTGGCACCACACGCGGCGGTTCCTCGCAGCGCCTCCTGCATCTTCACGCGATTCCACGTTGCTCATCGCGCTTATGCAGTTCATACTCGTTTATATGGATAACGTACCCAGTGATCGTGAGTTTTGCTATCTACTGTACCGTGTTCTATACAATCATGTTGTTGACAACATATAAATGATAAGCATTCTAAATTCGCTATTCTTTATTTGAATAAAGAATAACGAATTTAGAATGCTTATCATTAAGAATTACTATGTTTGTTGAAGCGGAGATTCTAAATTGATGAATTTTATATTGACTAAATGGGGATTCGATAAAGAGTGTGTTAGGTCAATTATATTTTCCTGAACTAGATGCTCTCTTGAGGAAGTTCATATCACTGGTTATTTGATTAGAATAATTTTTTTTCGCTAAGTACCATACATACTAGATGTATGTCAATTATACTGACTGCCCAATAATATTTACTTTTTATAAGATTGCGTTCAACAGTAAGACCGTATTATTATCTACTTTATTTATAGTGTTTGTTTTTATTTCCTATGTAAATAAATTGTGTTCATAAATTCATTCGTTACCTATCTCTTTATTTTTATTTATTAGCCGCAACGATGTCGTGGATAAAATCCTACTTTATCGGGAGTGACTCTGTCGTCATATCGTTACTGAGCCGCGACCAGCTGCACCCTCAACAGACGCCGCAAGAGAACATTGAGGTGACACAGCTGCACGTTCACATCGTCAAAGTCATACTCCGTTGTGTGATGCTCCTGGAATACGATGATTACGATAGCGGCAAACTGGAGAGTTTATTGAAGATCTTGTTAGCCTGTTTGGAGAAGATCGATTTGAAAAATTTTCATATGCTGGGTGTGTACTTTATTAAATAAAACTATGATTCTCTCTGTATTCTCTGTATTTTTACCTTTATTGTTTTTTTTTTACTGTTTTTTAAATCTTACTAATAGTATAAATGTGGAGGCTGGTAAAGTTTAAATGGTTGAATGAATTTGAATTTAATTTGATACATTGGTTTTATCTTAACGTATAGGACATTTTATACAATGGTTCGCGTGGAAAACAATCAAAGCCGTAAGAAACAACTACTTCAGAATATTGTTTAAAAGAAAATTATTTCAATAATTAAAATTTACGACTGGTGTTTTTATTTTTTTATTTTTAATAAGGAGGTTAGGTAATAACATATGTTGAAGAACTCACGCATTATGTCGCGACTAATACTTATAATTATATGCAATATTGCATTTTAGGATACTTGAATGAGTTAATGCGCTGCATACGATACGTCTTGAATTCTCGCTACTGCAAACTGTCTGAAGATACGCTGCTACAATGCTTACAAGTTATGACGAGAACACTTAGCGGTTGCGCTGCAGGTGGCGGCTGTAAAGGACAGGCATGTAGGTTGGATGCACTGCTTGGGTTGCTCGCTCTGATGCGACAGATTCACGAGGAACAGATACCAGTACAGGTATGTGTTGTAGAAAACTTTTTAATTTAAACTGAAACATCTCAATTGTCATGTATTTCTTGTTCAATAATACTTAAGTGTTTGTATATGTGTTGATGAACTTTTTGACGTAGTGAAAAGAAAGCAATATTTATTTATTTAATTTATTTATCAATAAATCGTGGTACAAAACGTGGCGAATGGTAGTCTCTACCAGCTAACGTTTGGGAAGTGCAGAGATAATCGAAGGTGATGTAGAGTAGAAGAAAAATACGAAATATACATAAATATATATCTTTTATTATTTTTTTACATTCGTATATTATATATAATGATGACGCATTTCTCTATTCTATGGAAGACTGCGTAAAAGATGAGTATTTACTATTTTTAATATATTGATGCATATGTATATGCTTATTTCGGGTCTCGGTTTACTAGATTAAGTCTTTAGATGGTTTTCTAGTTTCTCATAAAGGATACTTATTATAATTTGAAGCTTAAATAATTGATGTGATTGTCTGCCCCTGATATTGTTCTAATCTGTAATCTACTGAAATGGTGTATAATTATGCCTATATATTAATTTGACATTATCATAAGTATACTATGATAAATAGCACAATTAATCTACTACGTGAGGTAGGTAATTGTAATTATTTTTGATTTGAGTAATAAAAATGCGATCGCGCTAAATATTCTGTCTTGTATGGATTTTAATATAAATTATTAAGGGATTTATAATAACGTTGTTAGTTCAAGTGATAACGCTATGCTTGTGTATTAGGTAAGGCCAGCGAAATGTGGGCATATCAAATTTACTTTCACCACAACAGTAATGGTCCACATATGCATCTAAATACTCCTCGGAGATCATAGTCGAGATTTTTTTATAATCACAATTGACAGATATTAAATAGAAGTAATCATATACGAATATATATTTATATTATATATTTTGTATATGTATCATATTTTACATAGTTGCTATGTCTGCATATGACATAGACTTTGTGAATTTTATTATGATTTTTTCATGTAGTTAACCGAATAATAAACTTTTTATTTATAATATAAAGTGATTTTATGCAGTAAAATTTTTTACTATTACGTGTTTAAATTTTTAAAGAAGAAAACTCTATTCTAATATATAATTATTTATGTCGATTTTACTCAAGTTCGTAGCTATAGTTAACAAGCTATGGCTACGCATAGTGGCTTAAATGAGAAGCTATATGCGAAAAATGCAGTCAATTTACATTTTTGTTTCACTCACGTTTTCAGCTGTCTACATAAATGTTGAACTTGTATGATTCATGACAATTAATCAATGAAATAGAATTCTTAATATTTCGAAGTGATTCGTCACTTGCAACATTCTTTCAATCTTTCTACGAATCTGCCTTTATCTGATAATTGTGCATTATTCTTGATAAAGGAAAATTGAAAACATTCTTGAGGAGAATGCAATTATTATTACTAATATCAAAAATCACACGACTCTAATGATAAGAAATTAGTAATTACCATGATGTAGTTATTCTATAATTAGCAAAAACTGTCCTTGTATCAACAGTTTATAATCTTATATCTAAGTAAAATAAAAATGTAAAGCTTGTTTTTGTATATATATATTGATAAAGTGTATGTATTGGTCTATTGACAATAATAAGTATTAATTCTGTAAATAACAACTGGATTAAACGTACGATTACAATGTATTAAATAAAGTTGTTATGTTTGGTTTAGGAATTAATGCTAAATAAAAGCAGATAAAGTAAGCCAATGAGAAAAAAGTACTGTGGGTTGCGAAGGTAGGAACTGAACATGAAATAATATTTTCCCCTAAAACAGAGATGGTGTGATTGTTGGACCGAGGAGGTGATGCGTGCAGTAGCAAGTTGCGGGAGCGGCGCATGCGCATGTTTGCGCGCCGCCGCGCTACAGCTTATGACTTGTGTGCTTCACCACGTGCAGCTACTACCACACCTCTTGCAGGGTAAATGTTACTACAATCTACACGTACATTTAATATAATTAAGCAGAAGAGTTTGTTTATGTAAACGCATTAATCTTTGGAATTACCAGTAGGATTCGATATTTTTTTTCCAGGAAGTTTACAAGTTATTCAACAGCACCATATGACTACGGCCGAATTCGTGAGATACAGATAGTTAATATATATTTATGTCACAGTCATAATTATTACATAATTATATGTTGCGGTGTCCATATTCTTACATGACGAGTATTATTTGAAATATTATTAGTTGTCGTATCATATTAAAGATAGGTTATATTTTTCTAACAATAGCATCAAAGAGATCACATCCGTTAATAAAAACAAAAATATAAAATAAACTATAGTTTTTATTCTACAAAGATTATATCAGTATATATAACTATAGTGATATATATTGATATACAAGATGCAAAAGAGAAGGTATAACAAATTCAGTAATAATGATTAACAGTTCCTAAGGTATTTATTCCTTCCGTCTTATTCCTTGGTGAGATGAGAATTTGAGATTTAAAGTAATAAAATGTATTTAATATATTGATATATTTTGCTTCATTCTATGAAAGTTTTATGACTTATTTTCTTTATGCATTACTTTTTTTTATAAAATAAGTGGAGAATAAAATGTTGATATGATATTTTTATTTAACCATCCTCTTTATACATGAGATTTGGTAAGATTTTCCCTTACATCTTTTTTACCTTTACACTCTTCCTTCATTTTTGGCTTTGGGAATCAATGATAAGGCTTTCCTTAATCATTGAACAATTTAAAAATGTAAGAAAAAAATGACATGAAGTAAATAAGTATGTTAACGTAATAAAAAAGTATGTAAACGTATTTTTGTGTAATGCTTAACATTGTTCATGAAATTATAGTAGATGATTAAAGATAATTGTCAATCAAGTTACAAAAATTGTTCTGTCTGCGTGGTTCTTACCTAAAAAATAAACAGTATCCGGTTTCGAATCGAATTGAGATGACGATGGTAGGTGTATATCCATTATCTCCAAGAATTCTTGTTTACTCGTCTAAATAAATGCTCTTGCATTTGTACAATTTACAACAATTTAATGTTTTATAATTATTAAATATAAAAATTCATTTAAAAATAGATATCAAGTAACAAAATCTTCTTTTTTATTGTTTGATATATTCTGCAAAAATATCTTTTGGCATGAAATTTTATTCGGAATCACATTGATTATTTACATTATATTAATAATTAAAAATATATTAAGTGGACTAAATAATTTATCACGCAAAAACTGCTGAACTTATTTTAATTAAATTTGATATAAAGGTAGTTTATATTGTAACATAAAACAGGATACTTTATATATCTATTGATGCACACGCGCAAAACCGCTGGTAAATATATATAACTATATGAGTACATCGTACTCGTATTATAATTTCTGCGAATTATGATTCTAATAATTTTTCAATAGGACATATTTCACTTACAGTATCTCGAAATGTGTAATTCATAGTTACATTTTATTTTTATTCGCCTCATTAATTGATAATCTCTGAAAATTAAATTTTAATATGCATTCTGTTTTTTCATTAGCAATTCCCGAAGAGTCCTTGTCGCTTTATGCCTGCCGTATATTTTGCGAGCAGCATGAAGCTAACGTGGTACGGGCAGCCGCCGGAAATTTACTCGCCGCTATAGCTGCGCGGTCTTCCCCGCACTCCGATGTAAGTGATTGCATGTTAGAAAATAGTTTAATATTGCTGTTAGAAACGTATAATTTGGTATATTATTTTTGTGACCTTCATGTTCGCTGCGTACATAAACATTACGAATGTACTGTATTAATGATATTTTTACAATATTATTTTTAGTTAAAACTCTAATGATTTTGTCGAAATAGATAATTTTAAATATTTTCAAAATAGGCCAGTTTTATTATCACATATCTACTGTAGTTTTTTTATATTATAACATGATATATAGTTTACTAGTTTGAATCCAAAACACATACCCTGCTATCTGTAATTTCCTATAAATGAGTATAATTGTTTATTACGTTTCCTCGTTAAAAAAATCGTTTTAAAAAAATAGCAGAAGGATAGCTTGAAGTCTAAAATCAAGGTGGTGTATGGCGTCATCGGTAAGACCGGAACCTACATCTATGAGACGTGATATGTATGTGGATGAACCAAGGGATATGTGTAAATATGATTGCTGAAATAAGAGAGCTTATAAAATAGTTTAAGACAATTGAAAAATGCTAGAAATTTATTTTTAAGTCACTTCTAAAACAGGTGAATTAAAAACCTCCTTTAAGCTATCAATTTTTCTGTATTTTTTTATGTCTGTATTCCACCATTACATCGACAATTCTATTTACAGTCTTTAGATAACTGTTTTGTAATTGAAAGAGTTTATTTGTGTGTTGCGTGTATATTTTAATTTTGTGACGACTGGATTCGTAAGTTTTCATTATGGGGCAAAAAACTGTTGCAAAGCAAAATTCATTTTTAGACAAGAATCTGCGTTTTAAATTCAAATATTTTCAAAGTACTGTATTTACGAAATATCTCGTCCATCATTTATATGTTTTATTACGATTGGTATTGCTTTTCTTGCAGTGCATAGTATACTCGTACTTGTCACAGAGTAATAAATATACGAATTACTACTATTGCTTATTGTGTGGACCTTTACAATGGTACCGATTACAGTGGTTACGATCTATAAATTATGTATGTGATTGAGACCACAAACATTGAGTTTAATGACAGCCACCCACATCGTTTTTTTCAGTATAGATAATAATGGTTTGTGTTTATCGCTTGTAAACAAACAAGAATATTTTTAAATAATTCTGCATTATGCATTTTCAAATATTTTCGAATGAGCATGCTTTTGATTTTATTTATGTATTATATATGTAATTTATTTTAACATAGTACAATTTATTAGTAGGTGTTTATAGTTGCCGTGTGGTTCTGGCATAGAATAGGCCACCTTTTCCTTTCTCGTGGGTGTCGTAAGAGGCGATTAAGGAAAGACGAGGGATGGGCAGCAGCGGTCCTCTTCAACATCTCCAAAGCCTAACTGCAGTTGGCAATCCGCATGCTAAGCGTGGCAACTATTGGCAAAACCCTCCAAGGGACAGGCTTATGTTCAGCAGTGGACAGTTAAAAGCTGATATGATGATGATTTATGATATATATGATGATGAACTTGGGAGTATTTGAATATACAAAAGGCTTGGAAAATATATAAATATAAGAATGTTAAAAATATCCCTTCAAGTTTTTGACTCGCCTTATGAGCCCGGCATAGAATAGGCCACTCTTTTCTTTCCGGTGGGTGTCGTAAGAGGCGGCTAAGAGGACTTAATGATCGACAGCTGGGCAGCAGCGTCCCTCTTAAAATCCAAGGCGTGATCGCGGTTGCCAACCCGCCTGCCAAGCGTGGCAACTTCTGGCAAAATTCTCTACGAAGGCCTATGTCCAGCACTCGACAATTAACGGCTGATACATGTCACATTTCTATTTACACATTATTTGTTTGTTATATTACACGCGGCAATTTGTGTATGTTATATTGAACATTCATTAACTATTATTAATGTCTGAATCTAGTTTAATCTAAATTTAGATTGAATAAAATATGTTGGATAATTAAAATTTATTCAAATTTTACATAATTTATATTAGCAGAATTTGGTGTGTAAACTATAAATTTAAAATAATGATTACATACTTTGACTAAGTCCTAAAAAAAGATATGATTTATTTACAAATGGAATTAAAAATTAATACGGATTCATCGTTTCAGTTTTACTTACTTTCTACTCATAACAAAAATGTTTATATTTTAGGGGTTCAATGTGAAAACATGCTATTGTTGAATATTTATAATATTTTGAAACGTAAATAATCTGGTTATAGATTTATAAAACAAATGAGCTCATAACACTATTTGTATTAAATACAGCGATTTAATATGTATGTAATGACTTCATATACATTACATTTAGAATTTCAATAAGTATTGCCAGTAATGTTAACATTGTTGGTAGCTAACAACCTGTACCTATACGAAATAAGCGTAGTTACATAACTTGGATTTTTAATTGCAATAATATATCAAATGACCAGGATTATGGAAGGCTGATAAAATCTCATATTAGTTACAAAATGGAATCCTGATTAATTACGTCTTTATATAAAACAATATTTTTATTCAATGTAAATCAAATATTGTTTTATATACATCATATATTCTCTAAAGAATATATAAGTATATAGAGTTAATTTAACATAAAAAAAACATAATATCGCAGTAAGAAATTTTTGCAAAATTATAGCATTTATGTTTTATGTCTTTTTGTCTCTTATCAGTAAAATTGGTTATAATTTTACGTTGCTTTGAATGATACACATTCTGACGGTTTGATCAATGGAAAATGTACTTATTTTCAATTTGTAATAAATCATGATTATTTTTTTAGGGAGTGTTCTATTAGTGTAACCGAAAATTATTCCCGAAGAAAACTGATCGATAAACTTAGGTTTCTGTACTAATTTTTTCGGTGAACGCAGCGTGAGAAGCTTATTGTTCAACTTATGTTTCTTAGAGTAACCTATGTTCAGTTGCACTGGTAGAGTGCTCTTTTAAAAGGATGCTAAAGAAATCGATTTCATTCAGTATATGTATTTAAACGAAATCCTGCTGTTATTAGCTCGTAGCACTGCAGAAATAGCAATGTATCCTATTACTATTCCTGTTTTTGAATACAATGGATGTCGTAAAGTGGGAAATGCGGGTATATGCGAGTCACGGACACGATACGTCAACAATCGTGGCCTTGAGTGCGTGCCGAGTATAGGCGGGTCCTTATCTTGAGTTGCGCTCGCTGCGCTAGCAGTCAGCCGATTCATATACGCTTCATTTGAGGACTGGCCGTCGCCTTCGCCGTCAGCCGGCGCCGCGCCCTCGCTATCGAGAGCAGTACAAACGAATCGCGCGCCGCGTACATCCACCACATTGTTTACTCACATACGAATCGTACCGGCATGTTGAGCATCCCCCGCAAACACTCAATTAAAGATCGATAATATCGTCGTATAGATATTTATAGCAGTGCGGACGTGCATTATAAGAAGAAATATGTCGTTAAGTGTGATATTGTTATTGATAGTAATAGTTTTAATTTTATTATTAACCGTTTTTCATTATACCACAAGTGGAAGGAAATATTGGTTATTGAAGAGAGTGCCATATAGAGAACCATGTCCGATATTCGGAAACTTTGGACCGATGTTCATGATGAGGCGGAGTTATACAAAAATGTTGCAGTTTTTTTATGACAAATATAACAATGAAAAGTATGTCGGAATATTTCAAGCTCGTAGACCGACGCTAATGGTAATAGATCTGGATATAGCGAAACATATATTTTCTACGGACTTTCCTTGCTTCAGCGACCGTGTGTCTGTATCTACCGATACACGGCGAGAGCCACTGCTACGTAACCTGGCCAACATGAGTGGCGCAGACTGGAAAGCGATGCGACAAATCGTCACACCTACCTTCTCTTCGGCAAAGATGAAAGCGATGTTTCCATTAGTCGCCGATTGCGCTCAAACATTAAAGCAAGTGCTTCAAGAGGGATCATTAGACGAAGTGAATGTGCACGACTTAATGACGCGCTATACGACAGACGTTATCGGTAGCTGTGCATTTGGTGTAGATCCAGAATCATTAAAAAACTCTGAGTCTCCTTTCTTCAAGATGGCGAATAAAATGCTAAAACCAAATCGTTCTACAATATTAAAAAGATATTGTCGTACTTTTTCCCCGAGACTGTTTAAACTCTTAAATTTGAGAACATACTCGGCCGATGTCGAAACTTTCTTTACATCTATTATTAATCAAGTTTTAACTGAGAGAAGGAAAACTGGTGTACAAAGAAAAGACTTTCTTCAGCTCATGTTGAATGTACAAAAGTCAGAAAATGGTTTTCCAATGACTGATGCGTTGATAACGTCTAATTCATTTATATTCATGTTAGCCGGTCTAGAATCATCTGCAACTACTTTGTCATTCTGTTTGTATGAATTGGCCAAGGCCGTTGATATACAGAATAGTGTAAGGCAGGAGATTTTGGAATGTTTGGAACGACATGGAGGTTTAAATTATGAAGCTGTTAGTGCCATGCGATTGACTACGCAGGTGGTACAGGAGACATTACGGCTGCATCCCCCGACACCGCTAACAACGCGTCTTTGTACCGCCCCCTGTACACTCACTGGGACTGATTTAAAAATAAAAGTGAAGGACCCAGTTCTCATTCCGCTTCACTGTATTCAAAGAGATTCAAAATATTTTCCGGATCCGGACAAGTTTGATCCGGAACGTTTCAATGAGGATTTGAATCCACCAGGGTTTATGGCTTTCGGCGATGGACCTAGGAGTTGCCCAGGTAAGTAGTAAATAATTTCTTTACCTATCCCAATAATGAAGTATCTCGTTCGTGATTTACTGTTTATTGCATTAAGTTTGCCTTTTGTACCATATTTTCTTTAGGTCAATAAAGTTAATTAAATAAATAAAAAATAAATAGGTTTATGCATATTAAAACCGTGATTAGAACTTTGTTATGTTAAAAGTTTTAGTTAATCAACGTAAATCGAAATACAAGGCATTATTATTTATACTACTACTACTCATTCTCCTTTTTTAAATATTTGTGATAAAAATACATAATGTCATAATGTTCACTGGTCAGTTAACTTCAGTACTGAACGAAAACTTCCGCATATTTTTCTACATTTTAAAATGAGTACAGTCATTAACTTTATGTGTAATAATAATAGAGCGGTAAGATGAAAGGAAAAGTCATATTAGGATTATTTAACTGTTGGGTATATCTTTAGATTTTTATTTTTAAAACATATCTTTATTGTGTTTAAAAAATTATGAAGTAAGCAAATATTGAGTGGATAACACATTCTGCGTTGTTATTATAAACATATTTCAGAGAAGAGGCATATAGGTACTTTTATTCAATTATTGGTACAGTGCATGACGAGTGTATAAATCTAGAAGAAGTCTGTTATAATACAATGATTAGATAGGTACTTCATTTTATGTTTAAACATAAACTAGTTACACAGATACCAGTAATCTTGAGAATTTTATGGTTTCTATTTTATGTTAATCAAGTTCTGAACACAAACATTGGATTTGATATTATTGTAAAAGTTGCTACTATTAATAACTAACTTATTCCAAAAGTATAGGTAAATTATTATTTTGGTTAGACAAATACACAGACAAGTTTAACATGTTTATTGCATAATTTTGAATAACTACGACACTAATAAATTGCTAAATGATATTGATTCTAAAATGTGAAAAGGTGTTTATAAATATCTTTCAATTACGTTGAACGGTTAAACGGACTTAAACAAATATTTTGTACATAGACGGTCCATATCTGGACATAACACAACACTTAAGACGTTTTTATTCATGGGGGCAATGCTGGGGAATAAAGTTAGCAAATTGTAGTTAGGCAAATATTTCATCCGCTCATAATATACAACATATTCACGTTGAAAATGTAAACTTGATACAACAAATAAATCAACTGGTTTGTTTATTAATTTTCAGGTGTTCGTTTTGCCCAGTTAATAGCGTTGGCTGGTTTGGCAACTATACTGTCTAATTACATCGTGGAGCCGTGCGCTCGTACTACGCCACATATTCATTATGATCCTCGCAGTGTGATGTTGAAGAATAAAGGCGGCATATGGCTTAAATTCAAACCTCAAAAATAACTATAAATAATAATACCTAATAATAACTATTTCACATATTGCACAATGTACTTATATAATAACTAATTGAATTTGGGCCATAAAATAGTGGAATGTTCTTGATATATATCTATCTGCTATTGTTTTGTATATCAATATATTATGTATTTATAATTAATAAAAGTAATCTAAATCTAGACGAGTAGTTTAGAATATTTACCCGAGATTTTGTTTACTCGAATCATTTGTGTATAATTTGTACTTATTCTAAAAATATTATAACCAGTCAAATGTCATCGTATTGAGATAAAACATACGATTGCTTTTATGATAACAAAAACAGGGGGAATATAAATTAATGATATAGAGTTGTAATTTTAAATTAGTGAAAGCTTGGGTTTTGCCACAATGCATCATTCATATTTTTCCTTATTCATCGAACGTATGTTTTGTTTTTATAATTTCTATTTTCAACTTCCATATATCTATGTTAACTACTCGTATAGCTACTCATTACTATATGCTACGAAAAATACCTTTTAATGAAAATAAATTTATTTACTTTAAACAGGTTTTATTTCTTGGCCATTATAGATGGGCATTGATAAAGGGTTCCTTTTACAGTTTCGTAAAATCATTGAGAACAATGCCATTATAAAAGATTTGTTTATGTATTATTTGTATAATGATTGCTGACCTGAGTTATATTGTTGACAGTTAATAGCTTATTAAGCCGTTATATGTTATATACGTGAGCTGGTGCGAGTTGATGATTAGTATTTAGTAGGCAGTAGTAGACATATTAATATTTTCGGAAGGCATTGTCTATTTGATGGCATTTTAGCGATAATTACCAATTAAGAATAATTATTCTTTATACGACGACAATAATAATCGAGTATACAACAATAATAATCGAGTATACAACAATAATAATACAAATAATATCAAACAATGTTGTAAAGTGATGAAGCCATTATAAATTTTATATTTTAGTTTCTTTTATTAATGAACAGTATTAATATATTAAAAATATTTGACATCCTATGAATGAATAAATTTTATTTTACATAAATATCTTGTTTTTTTTTATGGTCGGTATTCATAGTATACTTTATTTTTTTCTATTAATATATTTTGTACTTAAAGTTATTTGTTTAATTTTTTTATACAACCTAGCTATGTATACTAATAGATATTTTATTTAATATTTAAACAATAATTTAAAACGAGTCTCGTCATAATTCTTGTTTCTCAATACGATTACAGTAGTAGATTTTAATTAATATTTTAGTCCTAAATGTATTTAATTTAACGTTATGAATATGGTTATACATAATCTCGAATTGTTATTTCTGCTAATAAATATTCCTGGAAATGAGCATTCTCTATCATTATCCTTTTACTACTCACTAACTAAATATACTTACATTATGAGTAACTACAACAAGTAACATTCTATTCATATTGCAAAGTATACAAACATTTCATCATCACATCGAGTTCACACTTTCACAGCAATGTTACTTACATTTAATGATTCTTATTTGAATGCAAATTTCCATTTGGCTTTATTACGAAGAGCTTTAAATATTTTTTCCAGGTACTTAGGTACAATAATGCACTTTGTTATGTTATTGGAAACGTATTACAGATTATATGGAATCATTGCAGTATCGAACTATTATCTCTACTTTACTACCTATACTTATAGGTTCAAAATTATTTATTAACTTTATATCATAACTTACAGATATATGGGTAAGCAAGAAATTTAAAACAGTATAAAATTTAAATATACGTATCTTATAAGTTTCTACTGGAGGAGGTTTTCAATTCGCCTCTATTTTATGTTTATATATTACGAAATATTTTTACTAATTTTGAATCGAATTTTGTGTTTTATGTTAAAAAGTTTTACTCCCATGTTCGTCTCATACTAAGTTGTTTTTGAAGGCATAATGCAATTTTATATTAGATATAAAAAAAGCTATTACCATATTACGACTTTGTAAGTATTTAAGATGAAAATGGAACCCTGTAGCATCGCTTTATTGTCTCTTTATCTGTTAAGACTTTTTCATTCGAATTTATTCAAGCGAATTTTGTGATTAATATATAATAAAATGTAAATAAAATTGGTTTCAGGTATATGAATTAGAAGTGTTGGAACAAATGAAGGAGAATAGCTTTTTGGAAAATTGTGTGGAGATTTTAATCGACTTCTGTAATGAGAAGCAATATAAAAATTATTTAGGTAAGTGATAGTTTTGCTTATTAGTTCATTATAGTTAGTTTAGAAATCACCAACTATAATATCATCTATATTATAGTCAATGATAATTATATTATTTTGTTATGATCCCTCTATACAACATTGAAGATATTACTATGCCATGAAGAGGGCATTCTTTCTCCTAGTACGATATTTGTATTTTGCCATCTGAATTCTGTGACTGTGGCCCCAAATGGAATTAGGGGATTACGTCATTTGTCGACTGTTGCCGTTGTATTGGACGTAATATTTAGATTTGCTCATATTTGAGTCTAACCTAAGACAGGCAAATAGTAGATTACATGATATGAATTCTATAGTATCATAAGTTGTTATTATATGATTGGCATTAGTGTTAAGATTATTTTTAAGAGGGGTCTGGCCCTTTAAAAACGATGCATACGTTCTAACATATGTTTTTGATTATAACTAAAAGCTCTGATCCTGATCATGATGTGGGCATTAATAACCCCTCCCCCCCTTTTTCTCTTAATTAGTTTCTGACGATTGGTGTGATTTTGCGGGTCATACCAATTATATAGCTGTATAGATAGGATAGGTATTTTTAAAAGTAATTATATTAGCGATTAGTTCCCATACATTCGAAGTTTAAGATTATCCATCAGTTTAAGGTTATCAGTGACAAATATTCAAAAATAAGTTGTATCACTTACATACTTTTAGCAATACTTAAGTAGTAAGATAAGATTACACAATTATTATTTTTTAAGGCGAATAAATTTCTTTTTTTTGTATGAATAAATGTCACTTTGAGTCTCATGGAACATTTTTTTATACCTGTAAGTGCGCCACAAATTAGTTTGAGAACCCCTGATATAAGAAGCACTAGCTTTTACTCTCGACTTCATTTACCAGAGGGAGATTTTATACAGAAGTTGATTGCTTGGGTACCTCTGTCCCATTCGTGTTTCAACCATAAAGCAGTTGTGTTTGCATGGCTGTGTTTCGATTTGAAGTGTGGGATATGGCGTGAATTTACAGGGTACAGAGAAATAACACGTGAGGCCTCAAGAATGGCAACGCATGGAGGTATCATGGGCGAAACAGTATACTCTGTTATGTCCATGGTACTGCTCATGTCTATAGGCGACGGTTACCATTTTTCATCAGGTGGGCCGTCAGCTTGTTTGCCATTCTAAGTAAAAAAAAAAAGTGACCGGGATATGTTCACTAACCGGAAACAAAAGGAGTCTATATCTTTATCCATCCCACATAATACATGTATACCAAATTTCATAGTGATTGGTTAAGTTGCCTTAACGCCAAGAGGTAATAAATAAACTTTCTCATCCTATTAACATTATAAATGCGACAGTTTGTGACGATGGATGTTTGTTAGTCTTTTACGCAAAAATTACTGAATGGATTTGTATTTTTTTTTTATAGATGAAAATGGTATGGTAACCCCGCCTGCGCTAACAGGATACGCTGGCAGAGCACCAGTGAAGGGTGATAGATGGGTGAATTCATCAGGAATTAACCATGATAGTTTCCAGGGGGAACCGCGAGGAGGTCGACCTGGTTGGGTATATTGCTAGCAATGGGATTCTCAGTCTCCATTACTAACAATCCCTTTCCCCCCAATGGATTTGTATTAAATTTGGTAGATGGATAGGTTATATTCTAACTTAGCACATAGAACACTTTACGTACTGATTATCACGGTTGAAGCAGTGGTCTGCAGATAGTTTATAATATTAAGCACAACATATCTTAGTTCTTAGGAGTGACCCATAAAGTGTATGTAGGCGATGGTTATTCTTGAATTGAAAATTTACTACGTTTTGTTTACAGAACTCAACGTCCCATTATCCGTACTAGAACGTCGTGCTGAACTCGAAGTACGGGCTCAGAAATGTGGTGATGTTCGCATATTACTTACTACGGCTCGACCGAGTGGACGGCCGCCGCCCACGGCTGAGTTAGTGACAGCACTAGCTGATGTGGTTCACAACACTAGCGCCTTCACGCAGTGCCCGGTGCAAGCGTGGAATGAACAAGGACTGTATCGGTTATTGTTCAGGTACAATAAACGTGTTACGATATGGAAATATTAGCACGAAAACTATTCGCTTTAATGAGTATACTCGTATGTAGTAGCTTATAAAGTCTTCTCACGTAATATTGCGTGATTTTAATTATGCCCCTAATGTAATCGATGACAAGAAAATAATTATAAAAGGGGATTGTTATTGTTTATAATGTAAAACGTAAAATATAATATTTTTTGTTTTAGCGTAACTCTAATTTTATAACTTTTTCAACATGCAAGTAATTCTAAGTCGCGGATAAAATCTAGTACCTACAGTAATACTTTTATTACAAAAGTATGAAATTAAGTATTTGTAATACAAGATGAATTTCAAACTCCATTGTCTATAATTATAATTAAACTAATATGTGTAGCCTATAAATTGCCAATTTTTTGTTGAATGGAGTTATGTACAAATCAGCCTTAAAATGTCCACGAGAAATAGCTGTTTTCTGATCCAAATTTATAGGAATAATTTGTATATCATAATAACTTCGCGAAATGTGAATGTAAATTTATGTATGTGCATTGTAAAGTATCATAATGTAAACAGATGTGCATCGTGGCGCGGGGCCGGTGACGCACACGTGTCGATACAGAAAGTGCGAGCCGCCGCCTCTCGTGCTCTCGCATCTGCGGCAACTCATAAGTCCGTCCGAGCTTCGCTGGCTGCCACTAAAGACTGCTTGTTCGGTCTTCTGACGTCTTTAACACCATTGGTAGAAGGTATGCTCATATTATATTAACTTAGATGGCTGATATTATAAGATTTTTTTGCAACTTAGAATGGCAAACAAGCTGATGGCCCACCTGATGAAAAGTGGTAATCGTTGCCTATAGATATAGTACCATGGACATAACAGAGTATACTGTTTCGCCCAACAAAGAGGAGGGTATTCGAGAATTCAGACAAAATTCACTTTGATCTTTATTTATTATGTAGTTTCAGATATATGTTCGTCTCATTATAATTTTGATCGTTAATATTATAAGATTTAGCCAAAACCTTGGCCTCTTCGTATTATGCGGTTCCAAATATATATTCATATATCTTAGATGGTTGATATTATAAGAGTCAGCCAAAGTTCACCTTGATATCTGCGTCAATGATGACCATGCCGTTCTATATAAAGTGTGGATTAGAAACTTAGATTATTGTTGTAACGCGTGTATTATAGTATATATTATAGTAACATATTTTCTATATTTATTATATATAAAATATGCTTTATAGTTATCAGTAATGAGGTATCAGTCTCATGCCTGTAATCCCTTATCGGGTAGCCAGAGGAATTAATCCGATTATTACTGTTGTGCAGAACGTCACACTAGACATGCCCACATTTTGTCGAATAAATTAGAAGCCAATTAATTATTTTATTCATTATTATTGTCAATTTAATTAATCGAATCATAATCTAAATTGCATTGTAATAATAATTTTAGATAATAAAGCAATAGGTATCGTGATTGTTTAATGTAATGTTTTGAAGTGGTGTGTAATTAAAATTATCTTAATTATCTAAATGTGTATTATAATAAATATTAATATAACTTTAATTAGGTATATTCGTGTTTGGTATTAAACAAAATTATTAAATAATATTTTATTTTTCAATATGGTGTAAAACCAGCGTAATAGTTTGTTTATTTAAATAAACAAACATTAATGTCGTCTATATAATAGGTCACCCCTTCTTTTCCCGTGGGTGTCGTAAGAGACTAAGGGAATTTAATGTCGAAGGATGGGCAGCAGCGTCCTTTTTAAAACATTACCAAAGCCTAACTGTGGTTACTAACCCGCCTGCCAACCACTGGCAGAGCCTCCTAATAGGAAGAGGTCTATGTTCAACAGTGGACAGTTAACAGCTGATGGTATCATCATATAATACATACAATAATTGTACAGTGTAATATGTTAATAATTCCAAAGTGTCTCGTTCTTACTAATAATTCCAAAAATTTACTTATAAATATAGTTGAACATTAAGAAAGGATTTAAGAGTTCTGCAAATAAACCCTTTGTAGAGGATCAAACAGGGGATGAAAGTTTGTACGAATGTTGCTATAAGAAATCTTATTAGGTTTTTGGTTATTCATTACATGAGTGAAAACATTAATTAAATAACTAGATTAAAAAATAATGTTTATTTAACGACCAGTCGTTAAAGCATGATTGAAAAATCAACACCTTGACTTTATAGATTTTTACATTTTTTTAACATTAGTTAGATTAAAATAATAATAGAAACCTAATTTTATTTATTTTAGATGAATTCGACGTATATACGATACAGGCCCGTGCTCAGGGTTTGTTATTGTTGGGATCTCTACTTACTGAGCGATCGGCTAGTGATACAGTGTGGTATGAACTAAGGGATCGACAGTCTATACCTTTCTTCAGTCTGTTACTACAGAGCCTGCAAAGCGATGAAATTGGTTAGTTGATACACAAGTATTTGTTCTAGAAACCGAAACAGAATTAATTATAAGAAAAGATATGTTAAGAGCGTTAATAATCATAGCTTCACTAAATGTTGCCACGTCACAATTATCTGTAAATTTTCAAAAACAATTGTTTCAAAAATAACAAAACAAAAATTTTCAATATTTTCGACTGATTATTTAAAAAAGAGTTGTAACAATTGAAGAATTTTGAATATTTGCTATTTATTATTTAAAATGCGCTCTGCTTACGAACTTATTAAGCTGTCACTAAAAATTTGGATTTGCATAGTAAAAAAGTATTCGAAAAATTTCAAAGTTGAATATGAAGTATGTGCAAAGTTTATTTAAAATATATTCTATGAACGTTCTATTTCGTAGTCAGAGCGTATTTAAAATAATCGACTAGAAACATTGAAGATCAATCAATTGTTTTTGAAGATTTACAGATATTCGTTCTTAAATTCGAATGAACTTTAATTTTACTTTTTCATATAGTGTAAAACAATATTGTTTTTAGAATTTCAGACGGCGGGTTTATATTGTTTGTCGCAGTTAACCGAATCGGCAGCACATAAGAAACACCCGGACAAGTCTAAAGATAAATCATGGATTGAATTTTTTGATAATATCAAATCACCATACACATTGGGCCCATTGAGCGAGAGAAGCGGCGCAGGGGATGGGCTTACAAATGATTGTCGACCTGAGTATATGGCGGAAGAATTATGTAAAGCAGTTATACATATATATCTGAAATCGTCGCTGGAGATGAAGAAATATCAAACAAGTCAAAGTATGTAATAACTTCATTGTGTGGAAATTTTATTTGCCTTGCTTGCCTGTTTGTTTGTTTGTTGATATTTTTCACAAAAATATCTCACATGATGCTTTGTAATGTTGTTATATTATTTTGTATTGTATCAACTTCATACAAAGGTTACCATCAGATGACTACCCAAAATTTACATTATCGTGTTACAAATTTGTCCGATCTTGTAAGGTTAATGTTTGAATTCTTCTTTGTTACCAAAGAACATAATCAATAACGTTGGCATTAAAGAAGCAGGAATGTAGGTACTATTTACCTGCAAAGGTTTTTCATCGCGTTAAATCCCGATTGTTTTTAAAATATGTGTAAACAACGTTTAAAATTAAATAAAATAACCAAGTTAGGAAACTGATGAATTTTTATTACCAATTGCATGCTACACAATGTTTGGGATCTTTTAGTATGTTTACACTAAATGTATATTGGATGGGTGAATAAGGAAGAATAAGGCGTGAGGCGTTTGGTTTATATTAAAAGAAAGACTAAAATTTGTTCTATAGAAAAAGCTAGCACTCGTAATAAAAATTAGTATGAGAGATTAAGAAAAATAATACTTAAAATCGGTTTAGTATGTTATTTTAAATTTGAAGTTGGCTGAATATGATTTGTAGGGATTCAGTCTTTGCAGATCAAAATTGTTCATTATGACGAACTATATTTAACGGCGGTCTAAGCTTATCAGTAAACATTTGATAGCTGAAGTGATGATATGAAAATATTGAAATAAATCTTCTAAGATCCCAGCAAAATACTAGTATTTTCTTGGAAAAGATTGTCGTAACAGATAGTTTTATACATGTACAACAAGTGTAAAAAATGATATATATTTTATGCAAATATATAATCTACGATGATTGTTTGGTATAAACGTGGTGTAATTTTCTTTGCAGACGAAGCGTGGGTGCGTGTGTGCATATGTGCAGCGCGGCTGATGGGTGCGAGTGCGCGCGCGCGGCAGTACGGCGCGCATCGGCGTCTGCCGCATGCGCTGTCGCTTACGCTGCATGCGCTGCGCGATCACCTCTCTATTGTCGGGAAGCCTGTCGACTTCATACGGAATGCGGACCGTGTATGTACAAATTATACATATAATAGTTGTGTAATGTACTACTGATGTTCATACAGACGAGAAATTTAAGGCAATTTCTTATTTATTATTACGTAGTTATTATACGTAGTTCTTAATTTAATTTAAACAAAGATTAAGGCAATTACTTACACTAATACACGTGTAAAATATATTCAAGTTAGAAAAATTGAATAATAATATTTATGTATATTTTTTATTAAATCCTGCAAATCTATTAAATATTTGAATTATATAAGATTCCTACCTAATAATTAATTGAATATATTAAGAATTTTTGATAAACTTTATGAAAACATGGATGTTTTTAATAAAACAAAATAAAACATATATTTTGGAATATAATCTAGAGATTATATTGACACACTGTTATCGGTTATTTTCAGAATCCAGTTTTACACACATTGTATTGGTTGTTGATCGTCATCGATTGTCAAATGCTAAACTGTGTGGCGGCTAAAGAAGCATTTGTAGAAGATAACCTTACGGTGTCCCTATGTCGACTATGGCCGTGGTGCATGATGACGGAGCGTTTGCGGTTTACAATTATGCACCTGCTGTACACTTTTGTTAATAATTGTCCTAAAGGTATGTTAATTTTTATCAGATTTTTTCTTTATGTATTAAGTATAATGTTATAGAGGAATATCTTGATAAACTATGCCATATCTTATGTAAAAGACTACAAATTTTTCACAACACGTCTTTCTAATCGAACTGATATACATTATTTTTAAAATTAAAAAAATCAATAAAACGTGGTGTAATTGCTTAATATCTGTGTAATAATCCGTGGTGACAGGCGTGACAGATATGTATGTATGTATGTAATCCGTGTGTTTTGGTGCTGGCAGCGTGGTCGGCGATGTGCGTGTGCGTTTCGGGGCGTAGCGCGGCGGGTGAGGCGTGTGCGTTGGCGGCGCGCGAGGCGACGCTGGCCACGCGGCCGGCTCGCGCTGCCGCACGCGCGTCGCATGCGCCACACGCGCTGCTGCTACTGTGCATGGCCACGCTGCGCCGCATTTTGTCGCACCACCAGTGCCGCTCTATTTTCATCAAGGTAAAATCGTAATATTCGTAATATTATATATTTTTTAAAGTTTATTTATTTATGTTTTTTTTTTATATACACTTTTAATATAAATATTAGGTTATAATAAAAATGTACACTTGCGGATTGATTTTTTAAAGGGATTTATTCCAGTCGACCTTAATTTTATTAACTTTAATTAGGATAAAATATCTTTTAATGTAATATATGGTTTATATAATTTCTTTCAAATCCATTCAGTTATTGAAAGTTACTCAATAAGTAACAAATGTCCAAACGTCTTTATACATTTTCTACTTTATAATGTTAATTAGATTAGCTTGTGTCTGGACGATGTTCGCGTGATTTTTTGGTTACCGTTTTTTTGTTTATTAATAAAAGTTTTTTTGTTACATACTTTTATGTTTTCGGTTCTTAGAAAATCTTGTCTCTCGCATACTTTAAATGTAATTTTATGTAATAATAGGTGTCAGACGTTCATTATAATCATACTGACTGGTATTACATCACGGTTCTCTCTAAAGATACCAACTTGTGAAAATATGCATCAATGTGTTATTCTTTTTATTTTGTCATTTTCTTGTGTTTATTGTTTTGTTGGATTTTCTTATCGTAAATATGCTATTTACTGCCGAAGTTATTTAAGATTTTGCTTTGCAGAAACAGCGACGTTTTATGATTAAATTTCATTGCATCAACCTTAAAATCCCTAGTCGAATGTGAAGTCATTCAAATCGATTCAGAATAGTGGAAGATATAACTTAACGTGTATACAAAAAATACAGAAGAATTGAAAATTACAGGAAATTGAGTGAAAATACAGGTTATGGCGTCATAGAGTATATTCATAATGGTGTTAATGTTTATAGGTTATTTTAGTTTGTTTCTTATTCTAAGACGCATGAAAATTTCTATTTGATGTTGTGTAAAAATTTATGTTTGATAGAGCGAGGTGTTGTCGTCCGTGCACAAGGTGTGGTGGCGGTGGCGCGCATGCGCGGCGTGGGCGCGGCTGTGCGAAGCGCTGGCCCGGCACGCGGACGGCGCGGCGGCGCTACTGGTGCTGCCGGCGCGGCCGCCGCCCGCCGCGCATGTCCGTTCGCAGCTGGCGCCCGCGCTTGCGCACGCAGCCGCGCACCATCGACATGTCTTCTTGCAGTCGCGTGAGTTTCTTGCTCCTTAGTTACGGTTATATATCTTGAAAAACAGCTAACGATAACCGAAAATTTTTAGATATTTATTATGAAATCTTAATATGAAATAAATAAATAAATACCATTGAGTGACAGCGCCATTGGTCCCAAACTAAGCGTTTGTACTATGACTATTGGACAATTGATAAACGTACTTAAGTACGTTTATTAGTTGTCCAATAAAATAATTTAATCGAATAATTTATCTGAAGATACCACGTTTAGAGGTGTAACACGTGTTGCTTAATATGCTTGGACGAAATGGCAGTTGGAGATTGATGGGTCAGTCTTTGAGTGTTAGCAGTCGCACACATACTGATGGTAACGAGTTTAAAAATTATAATTCTGATCAAGTAACCAGTACTATTATATGTTTAATGCGTAAAAATGGGTTGACACTAATTAGCGTAATAACAGACAATTGATTGATTGATATTCGTTTGCGTGTTAATCTGTCTATGATACCGACGCTTTCAAAGAAAATTTATTTCAAAGTGTTTGAATATTTAAGCTAATTTGAGTGTAAATCCATTTATTAATTTTGTTACTACTTGTTGTAGAAACTAGTTTTAAATACATTATAGAGGCGCTAAAATGTCGCGGTACACCGTCACATTTTCGCATATTCTTCATAAAATAGTTCACACCTACCCACGTGAAAAATCACTATTTATGGTACTAATTTGATTATGGCGTTAAAGTGGATCAACAATATGATCTACTGGCATAAGTACAATTTCCAAATATGCTTCTTTTTATCATAAATTTGTACTCCTATTGAAGTATACAAAACTGCTTCTCAATTTATTTTTGTTTTTTCGGCGAGTATGTAAGTTTACGCTTGCTAAGTTACGTGTTACGTCAGATGCATACATGTATAAAACAAAATTAGCTAACGAAGTTCTTATACTAGATATCATAGTCTTTACATGATAAGCAGTAATAGATGGTAGGCGTAATATTTAATTTAGTATAAAATATAATTAGAATAGGACAGAAATAATTTTATTAATTATTTATATTCTGGGAAGCATACAGCAAATTAATAATAAATATCTATTTAATGGGTAGTTATATTAATGATAATTATAGGCCACTATAGATAGATTGTTAATGAAGTTATTATCCTAACCTGGTTATTAGCCTTTTGACCCCTCATTGGCAACTTTATATTGTATTTGTTTTTAATATTTCCATAAAAAGTAATTTTAAAATATTGTACAGTTTTGTAGTTTCTATTTTATTTACTGCCTTAATATAGTAGAGAGTTGTATAAACGGATATCAAATATACAAATACGGGCTCTCAGTTGAATAAATTGTATTAGGATGGTTAAAATGTATCGGCAAAATTTAGAAATTAAAAATATTCGTGTTCCCAGCAATATACTGGATAATGAAACACTGAGTGATGATTGTTGTCATTTGTTCCTGGTCCAATGTACTGACCCTACTATGTGTAATTTATTAAAAATATATTTCACAGCGGATCTCTTGGAATTTCTTTCGGGCACGCTGTTGACGGGCGATACAGAGGAACTGGTGTCGGCAGCTAGGGCTGTCTGGGCTTTGGCCGCAAATAATCATAAGGTACAAAATATAAATACATTGTAATCATAGAGCATAATATGTGTTTATATTATATCGTAATACATAAATTAGTTATTATTATCTCAAGTTCACTGATTGCTTAATTAATTTAAATATCATTTATTATTCTTTATAAAATAATAACAGTAGATACCAGTAACAGTAGAAGTATATAAAAAGGTGGTAGCAATAGCTTATTGTTAATAATAACACAATGGATATGATATGTTTTATATATATATATATATATATATATATATATATATATATATATATATATATATATATATATATATATATATATATATATATATACAGGATGCTTCAAAAAATTGTATACACACTTTGAACTTCCATAGAAAATTTATTTACCGTTCTACAAAGTTAAATTTCAGGAAAATAGAAAGCTGAAAGTCCTATGTAAATGAAACATAAATAACAAATGTTAATACTGTTCAAATTGGTGACCTGCAGCATCAATACAATTCTGAGTACGAGTCACCACTGATTCTGTACATCGTAACAAAAAAATGAGATTTCTCTACACACTGCTTAAATCTCATTCCAAAGAATGTCTAAAATTACGTGGTTTACGTTTTTACACCTCATCTTTTACTGTGCCCCACAAGAAGAAATCCAGTGGTGTAAGGTCTGGAGAGCGTGCTGGAAACTCGATTGGCCTGCTTACGTTCTTCAAAACTCAAACGTACGTCCCCCATGTTAATATTACAAATTCCAACTGATAATATAACATAGAGGGACGATTATGCTGGCACCTGGCGAAGAAATATAACATTAGCCTTGTAGAGCGGGAAAACTACAATAGTTTAAAGTGTGTATACATTTTTTGGAAGCACCCTGTATATATATATATATATATATATATATATATATATATATATATATATTTGTACTTCTGCTGATTTTTGTATTTCTCTTATTTTTGTAGTGTTCTCTCTGCTCTGTTCGTTAAGTGTAAATCTCAATATAATTTTTAAGTCATAATATTTGTACCATGATAGATGCTTTCTAAAATATCCTCCATACTATTTCTGTATTGTCAATTATTTTTGTGTAATCAATTTAAATAAATAAATTTTATTCGAAGCATATAGTATATAGTTCCTTAGTTTTTTAGGAGTGGTCTGGTCTGACCATCGGCAGTTTCCTATTCCAATACGCGGTTCATAAGTAAAGGTAGTGAGTTCGAATTTAGCTGATAACAAAAACACTTTGTATTGATTTTTAATTTTTCTGTGATGATTAGAACATTGTGTTTATAGCGATAGGTTCGCCCTCTGCCACATTAGTTCGACGAAATGTGGGCATGTCCAGTTTTACTTTCATCACAGCGACAAGAAATTAATCTCCCCACTATTCTGTTTAGGATTATAATCTTCTGATTGTGAATATTTGAAGTAAAAAACATTTAAATAATTAAAATAAAGGTATACTGTGTATATCGTTTTATTACATTTTTTTAAATACATTTAAACCGTACATTATCAGAGTTTTTGTAATAGTTATTTCATTTTATACAAATTAACGGCTTTTCTATTCTATAAATGACCAATTGTAATGGTAATAATTACTAATTTGTTTTTCTGTAACATTCTATATATTTATGAATGAGAGTGATGTCATGAAGTGTTTGGGAAGTCATATTCATAACTCGTTTCAAGTTGAAAAAATTATTTATGGTATAATGAATATGTCTGTTTCACGCCTTTTAGTTGCTAAATTTCTTGCCTATAGCTATAATTGCTTTGTATCGAATAACTTAATGTTTTGTTCCAAAATTAGATTCAACACTATTGATTGAAACATGATCATCGAAATCGGTTAAAATATGATGAACATATCGCGTAATATACAGTACTTACACATAGTCAAATTAATAACACTCCTTTTTGATGCCGTTTCACAAGATTAAAAAACCAGTCAAGTGTGAGTCGAACTCACTAGCCTAGGGATTTATACATAGTATCTAAAAAGATATTTGCTTACTTTTGAAAAAAAAAAATGTGTTGTACACTCGCAGTTGGTTCAGAAACGCACCGAAACACCATAAGAGAAATAAAACAAATTATTTATTACAAAACGAAACTGTTAAAAGGTCGCAGTTACCATTATATATATTATATAACAGAACATTTACATTTCCTTGTAACAACATGTATCGCAATCTAAATTTTAACAATCCTGTCTACTGGCTAATTAAAAAACTAAAAATCTATTGAATAATCAAACATATGTAGATAATATGTAAAATGACCTGCTTATTGTATTTTATATATGAAATGGGCATCTACTTATTATTATTTCAAGTAATTTCGTAATTAGATTGTAACTTTCGCTAGAAGCTCGAACGCAAATTTAAATTTGTTTTTGAAGGTTTTTTTTTTATACATTCTGAAAACTTGGGTAATTAGACGCAACGTAATATTTTTCCTGCAATATTCACATATACTATTATATATATATTTCTATATTTCTCATTTGTCGCCTTACAAACTGGAGATAAGGTTAGGATAAAAGATTTTTTTTACTTTAATTTGAAAATAAATAAACATTTGCTTTAAATTGTATAAATAAAGTCCTTTCATATGACACCCTACTTGGTCTGGTATATCTGTTTTGAAATGTTGAGTACCCCTTTTGGAGCCCGTAACAAAATAATAATATGTAAAACTATTCTAAATTTCAAGACTATGGAAATAGTAGATATAGACAGATGGACGGACGGACATAGTCGCTCCATAAAGGTGCCTTTGTACCATTTTGGTACGGAACACTAAAAAGGCAATAAATATACAAATTGATTCATATGTCCATTGTAAAAATAGAGTTCATATAAATTCGACATGTCTCCATGACACCTTTCCATTAATTCTGTTGAAATTGTACACACGTGTATACGCACGTAGGTGCCTACGTCAAAAGAGGACATTTTAAATATGTATAAACGTGTTTTGTTCAAATTAATTTATATTGAAAGTGTCAAATTGGTACTTGACATTAATTTTTATTGTTGATGCCTTTTTAATTGTAATGCGGCACACTTTTCCGATTTTAAGAGAATCCAAATCTTTTATTGTATTTGTAATTTTTTTATCATTTGATATCTGCATGAGAGTTGTAGTATTTTGTATTTTTACATGGCGAGTTACAGGAGATGTCTAGTTGCTAATCTCAGTCAAGTGCTTACAAATCCAAGTACCATGGAACATTTCAAAAATCGTAAATCTTCTAACTGGCAGTATGTTAATGTCAACTATATCAAGGATTGATTCAAAATTTCCTTTGTGTGTATTTGTGAACCATCAAACACTTTTTTAATTATCTGTTTCCATTTATAAATATTTCTATTTATTTAGGCTAAGCTTCAGCTTCGAAGTGCCGGAGTGGTCGCAGCCGTGTATTCAGCTCTACAGCGATTGCAACGTGGACAGAGTGATCCTGCAGCACAGCGAGCACTTCAACTCCTTACTTATACAAATAACATCTTGCAAACTCCCTAACAATTATGTTATTATATTATGGCAATGAAATTATAGGATATGAAAATATAACACTATAGTTCTATGAATATAGTTCTATGAATGGCAACGCATGTATCACAGTGTATTCCCTGATGCCTCTGAAGCTGTTCATGTCTATAGGCGACGATTACCGTTTTTCTTCAGATGGGCTGTCAGCTTGTTTGTGATTTTTAATTATTATAAAAAAGCAATTTACTACGATTTATTATGACATGTTTTGTAAATTGAACAAAGTGAAGTAGTAGATCATGATTATTAAAAATAAATTTCACGCCTGCTGGAAAGTATTGTTTTATTTTAAATATTACCAAATCCCGTCCACGATAATTTATGTATTCATAAATACATTGAATAAGGTTTTGCTCAAAGAAATTATAGGACGAAGAAACACAATTATGTTATGTACAAACCGCGCGGTTACACGTGATCCATTTAATATGAAGAGTTTATTATATTTTAGCACATAATAAATTAATATATGTTTTTGAAGCCGGTTAAAAATTGGCTTTAGTTGCAGTTTGTACATCCTAATGTACGAAAGTCTCGTCTCACGATGTTCCTTCACGCTAATCTCTAAAACTGCACAACCGATTTTTATTAAATTTACTCATGATAGTTTCATACATCATCATCATCTCAGCCATTATCCGTCTACTGCTAAACGTAGGCCTCCTCCATAGACTCGAAAAGAACTTGGACTTGCCTTGAATCACCTGCAGCCACTGACTCTCTGCAAACGGTTTCATACAATTAATATTAAATACGCGAAGATCAATAGGTGCAAAGGTAGTAAGAATAAATATAGTAGAAATTGTAATTTTTTTAAATGTGAACAAAAAATAAAATAAAGAGATCCCTTTATGGGATAAGTCCGCCATTGTATATTAAATCATTAATCAGAATTTAATGTGAATTATGTACAATAAAGATTTTACAATACAATATATTGAGATTAAAAATAAATGCATTATATTTTCTTTTTTCATTATTAATAAAAAAAAACACAAAGTATTGTGTTGTCCATCGTGTTGTTCATGTCTATAGGCGACCATTTTTTTATCGGGTACGCTTTCAGTTTGTTGCTATTCTGATTAGCAAAAAAAAAAGTTTACTGCCTATCCTGTAAGAGACTTGCCGTGATAATACAGATAGGTTTATTCATGCCTGCTTTTACTAGTTGTGTGTGCTTTTATTATAAAAACAATATAGGTTCAAAGGTTTTGTGACGGTCGTAGTTAAAATGAGGTAAAAATAAAACATATTTACAAAATATTGCGATACTCACGACAGTGTGTACCTATAAGTTATTGCGCTCACGTCAATTGTTTGTTTCTTAGCGATTATGTCGGTATAAAATATCGAAAAGCGAGCGCTTACCCGCAGTTCCCGATGTTAAAATCTACAACGACTACATGTCTCGTTTATCCAGTCTCGCCAAGGCCGGGTCTGCGATAAGGTTCAAGGCGCGAATAGCGCCACAATCGTCGCACAGAACGGCCAGTACGAATTTTATAGAAGTTTGCGTTACTCATTATCAACGTAAAAAACGATAATCCGCGTTTGTGCAGGCGCCAGTGCGTTCGCGTGTCCCTGCCCGCGCACCTATGCGGTTATAGTTTGAAACAAGTCGATCAATACGGAACAATGGATTGGCGGTGCCGCCGCGGCTGGAGGCGCAAGGACTGACGTGCGCGTGTACACCCCGGATCGTGTGCCAGTGTCTGTGTAGTGAGTCGGTATGGAGAAGTCTCCGCGGTTCAATTTTCCGCCGGAGAGCTACTCGGCTGTTTACACGGGCGACGACGGGGCGACTAGTGCGAATGTGAGTACTGGTGAGTGGCGAGTGGCGTCGTTATCAGCGCGCGGTGTGCGTCTGCGCAGCGACAAGGTCGCGACGGCACACATTGGTGCATTCAACTCGTTTGGCGAAACGATTCAATATTTGAACAACCGACCGGCTTTCCCGGTTTAGTCCACGTTTACGTGAACGTAGACTCATAGTTCCCTCGAGTATTGAGTATTAGCGTTACGTATATATTATCTGCATACCTAGGTACTATCCCTGATTCCGTGTTTCCCAATATATGATAGTTAAAATTTTCGTTAATAATGTAGGCAGGCAAAGCCTACAATAAAGAGCACATTTGTACTATACCCACATAAATTTTGTAGAAGATGCTAAACATATATTTGGATATATTATGTCCTTGTAATTCGTCCATGCATACATAACTTATGTTAGTAGGTAGGTTAGCGTCTAACGATAATAACACAATTCACAGAAGCGCATGTGAGGTATTTATGATGTTGAGTAATGTATTCGATCCATATGTGTAACCACCTAACATATGTGCCCACCAACACCTGGGCTCGTGTTCCGGTTTACACTTATGCCAAGAAGACCATACATTATGCCAGTCGTGATGTCAGGTTGCCGTGGATTACGAAGCTGGCTTAGAATGTTTGGTATAACCAATTGTGTATATTTTGAATGTGTTTCAAACTAAATATGTAAGAGGCCGCTCATTATCCGTTAAAGCACGCACCTCTATTGCCGCATCTGCTTTGTTCTTTTGTTATGTCAAGGTTAATGCCACATTATTAATAACTTACTTTGTATATGATAACTTTTATCACAAATTTAGGTAAACATTATATTTATTATTATAACTTTAATGATTGGTATATTATACCTGCTGTGGTTAACTTCTTGACTCACCATAGATGACATAAAAGTACTATTTTTGTATGCTTGTTACCGCTTGGTCAATAGATCTTGATTTCGTGGACGAAGTCGCAGCTTTAGTTGTAACTTATAAATAAATCTAGTTTAGTAGTAATTTAAAATTATTTATGGTGTATCTAGGGCATTTAATAGATTGGGGGGGGGGGGGTTAGTTATTTTTAGTGTGAAAATTAAAACAATTTGACATTCTGTAAGGTAAACAGAGATTTCACTGCTATGTCGTTCAAATCGAAACAGCTATGCAAGTATAGAGAGAGAGATAAGAGAGTTATAAAAGTACCCATGCAGATGATTTATTGCATAAATGTCTAAATCTGAGAAAAATCCGTTTAAACATGTAATTACCGATTTCGTTATATTTTAAGTAATTATTGTAATAGTATCTTTGGATTTAATTCTAAAAGAGTTAATCATATATATGCTTTATCAACAACATCTCAGCCATTATCTGTACTGCTGAACAAAGGTCTCCCCGTTTCTTATTGCAGTCCATAGACTGCTAAACGGTCTAGAGTCACCTGCATCCACTGACTCCCTGCAATGTCGTCGACTCCATCTAGTGGGGGGTCGTCCTACACTGCGTTTACCCGTGCGGGGTCGTATGGGCATATGGTTTATTCCTAGCTAAAATGGATTGGATATTTGAATGATTAGTAAAATAAAAAAGTAATGTTTTTTTTTGGTACAGCAAGTGGAAACAAATTCCAAATCACCCTCCTGTCAGACATGTGAGTCGCCGTCGGTGGGGTCACCGGCAACCAGTATTGCAACCCCGCCGTCTTCGCTTTTCAATTGCTTCCAGTGTCCAGTAAGTGTTGAAAGTATTATTACCTTAGCAAAGCATTATTCTTTTGAAATCTATACGAATCTCTCTCTATAAGAAATTGATAATAATAGGCTATTACCATGTTGGCTAGCCAGGCGGCTTGGAACAGGTTCTATTTCGAGATTTCTTTCTCTTGCATTAATGTATTATGCTTTGTTTTCAAGAGAGGGTCTTTGCCAGTAGTTGCCACGCTTGACAGGCGTATTGGTAACTGTAGTTAGATTTTGGTGATGTTTTAAAAGGGACGGTGCTGTTCATTTTTCGAGCACTACCTTAGTCGCCTCTTTCGACACCTACGGGAATGGAAGGTGTTATCATTATGAGTACCATGTCTTACAGGTACCGACCTTATCTGTCTTAAATAATCGTTTGATGTAGGTGGTATTGGTACAGCCTATTTTAGAAATAAATTACATATTTTATATACTGGTATGCCTATGTTTAACTACAGATAGTTAACGGCTGATATCATCATCGTCGTCATATTGGTATTATTTTACAGTTTAACTAATAATTGTAACTAGCCTATCACTTTAATAAAAATATTATCAACGCTTTTATTGAAAATAGGTATTTAGGACAACATGTAGGATTATGGTTGTTATTATATTTCTTATTTCATTACAGTTCAGAAATGACATCAGGGTTGTTCCAAAAGGCAAACGCACAGCAGAAAAAGTAAGTGAAAAGCCATCATTTTTCTGATTTGTCTATAACTAATTATATATCTATCCCATTCTTTCTTCTATGCACTCTAATATATTTTTTAATCTTTATGTAAAGATTTGATTAGTTATATTGAGTAATTATAGTACAATAACTAGGCATCTACATAAAAATACTTAATATATTACGTATTCTTATTTAAACCAACATTGTAATAAAAGTGTACTTATCAAATTTTAAGAATCATGCGATTCTCGAACGAAGATGATATATATATATATATATATATATATATATATATATATATATATATATATATATATTATGTGTAGTTATAGCATTATGTGTAGATTTGTTCTCAATACATAATGTAGTTTAAAATATGTCAGTACGTAAATACGTACTTATCAGCAAATAGAGGTAATTATTTACAGATTGCATAAGTTTATTAAAACAGTTTGTTGATAAAATATTTGCAAATACTTTATTTTGGTAAGTGGTCGTGCACATGTGTGTTAATTGAACAAATGTGGTCTCAATTATTAAAGTATATTTCCACAAACGCTTGGTAGAAATACCTGTATAAGTAGGTATATTCTGAAGATTAGGAATTTTTTGCCAATTTTCAATATTTGTTAGAATATCTAAGAACATAATTGCATGTTACACAGAAAATCAATCGTGTAGGCAAACGTTTTCGGTAAAGCATTAATATTTGCTATAATGAGTATATTATATTATATTATATTATCATAGAAAATGTATTACTATTTTTAGTGCAGGTAAAAATAATATTGAATTCAACCATAGGCAGTATAAAATAGATATATTGTTTTATTTCTTCCGTGATCATTGAGCTTTTATTTAAGTTTGACTCTAAAATTTACTTAGTATTGTGATTGATATCGTTATTCAAGTGTCATCTTCAGTGAAGTGTTTGCACACTTCGTATGTTTGTATTGAATTTAGATTTGCGGTTTTTCACATTTTTTTTCATTTCTGTCAATATGGGCAATCCCAAGAATACACTTATAATATGTAAGTGCTCATTAATTTTTTTTTAATCGAATAAATAAACAACTTTGTGTATAAGCAACTGTATATGTATTACTGCATTTATTGTACGGCTTTGCCCGTGTGATTTATGCTAAAACGTATTTTATATCTAACATGTGGATATGAATCTATATCTATATATACAAATTGTTTTTTTGCTCGATATGATTTCAGGATCATATTTTATTTCAGTTACTAAGTAAGCTGAAATATTAATGTAACTATTGAGTCGGACAACGTTTGACTGTAGCTTGGAGACCCTAATATGTAATCCTACTGTCTGAATTTTTAAATTAATTATCTATTTAATAAAGACGGTACGTAAGGCCATCGTTCAATAAGCTACATGAGACGTTCGTATTTAACGAAGGTTCAGCGGTTGTGAGGCTTTTTTTAATGGAATTCGGCACGATGGTTTTCAGGGGTACCACGTGCATAGTCGACCTGACAGGATATATTGCTAGCAATGAGGCTAGTCCGCATTACTAACATTCCATTTGTCTCTCCTCCCCCCCTAATATGGGTGAGGTATTCATCTCTTGTTAAATATTCTTTTTCTGCTTTTTAAGAGGAGGTTCTCAGTTTGCTTGTATTTTTTGAGTTTATGTTGAGCGATATCTTTGTTAATTCTGAACTGATTTCACTGCAATGACTATTAATGCTATCATTTACTCCTGTTTTGATCCCGTTTTAATTTTGTTACGATTAAAGTGGGTAGATCTTAAATTATGATGGCTTAGGACATAATTAATTAACATTACTTGGAATATATTGTATAATTATTATAAGTGGTTTAGTATTGTAGGTACCATGATAGTAGATACAGTGCCTGGCGCTTACTGATCATAATACCGACCTGTTGTAAAAAATATTTTTAAAATTCAATGTTTCATCGCGCGAGTCATGAGATAAACATGACCACATCTACTTACGAGTGTTGGATTATTTAGCGCCTTAACGGTTCATTGTACGGGTAGGTACCTATATCTCCGTATATATTCTTAAAGATGTTGATCTTAATGTTATTTATTATTGAATATTTTTCAGTATTTTTTTTTATACAACTTAAACAAACTGACGGCCCACCTAATGCAAAGTGGTAACTATCGCCTATAGACATGAGCAGTACCATGGACATAACAGAGTATACTGTTTCGCCCATGACACCCCCCTATGCGTAGCCATTCCTGAGGACTCAGGTCTTATTCCTCTGTACCCAAAAAATTCACGTTTATTTAATGGCTGATTGATTGATTACTATATATTATAAACTATTGGTTTAGAAAGTATCTAAGATTGGTCTTATTTTATGGTCGTATTGTAGTCACGTGGAAATTAAATTCAGTGATTTCAGTACTAAGTAGACTTATAAATTATCATACTTATCTTACTTACTTATCATTGCCTGTTTGCCGTTTAGTGAAATAAAAAAAAAAAAAAGAAAATTGTCTACGATGATCTTGGTCTTGTTAATGTACTACTAGAATTTTACATACAGATAAGTAAACACTGAAAAGGTTTGCGTATTGCAAAGAATAATTCAGTTCAATTTGAATTTTTCTAGAAAATATTTCTCCCTATAAAGATATCCGTTATGATTGTAAAATGTTTTGGCTACGATAATACATATTTGGCATTGAACTTTATCATAAGTAATAAGTATATGTAAGTATAAGTAGCCGATTACATTGTTTGGAAATAAATACTCCAGAAAAGGATGGCAATTTAAAAAACATAACAAAACAAAGCAAATCTAAGGACACATTATAATTTATAATAGAAACAGGTCGCTCCTCATCGAAGGGGAAATTTTGGTAAATACATAGTTTTCCGTCCAATACACTAAGTCACGTGTTTTTGGTTATTGTTTGAGAAAGTTATTTTATGCTTTGCATTACTGTCACTTGTTCGGAAAACGTGGTCAGAATATATTTTAATACATCAATTTTTTATCACCATTGTTCGAATACTCTTGATGAGCCGCGTTTTAGGTAGGTATCTACAGGATGTACATATATTACTGTAGAGGGAGAGAGAATGAGAGAGTATTTTTGGATATTTTAGAATAATGTATCCGTGGTCGCTACATGGATTATACTCAATAATGATAGTTTAGCAATTAATTTTGTCGCAATTAGGTAATCTTAAGCGATTGTTGAAGAAAGAAATATTGTTATTCAAGTAAACATAGATTTAAACACTTTTGAACAGGCAGCACCCGTTTACGAGTATGACGTATGAGCTAGCCATTATTGCGGTTAACCATATTTTAGGGAACTCATTAATCCGGCCCACTACGCCACCACCTGTCTGGACATCGTAAAGACAATTATCAAACTGAAAACTAATAATTTACTTATAATGACAATATATTATTTCACTAAGAAAATATAATTTGATTTTTTAAAAAACTTTAATTTTCAAATTGCAGGTATAACACCAGTTTTTCTTTTATTCTGAATCGTATTTTATGTTTCTGTTTTGCTATCGATATGAGTTCTGTAATAATTTTGTTCCTCATGATTGAAATCATAGTTTTTTTTTGCGGAGAAAAAATTTAAATGAATGAAATTAGTTTTACTTACGACGCAGTTTTTGTGTATTATATATACACAATATATCGCAGAATTCTAGAATTTGTGTCGTTATAAATAAATCCAGTTTGTATTATGTAAAAAATATTCATTGATGCTTAAGCTTTTTATGTTATTTTAAATCCAAAGTCAACGGGTTCATAAAACTTAAGAGAATTGATTATTAATAAAAAAAAACCGTCAATCGATAAAGCAAATCAGGCATAAAATAACATAATACCTAAACATCATTATTCTTTCTCTTTAATTTACAAATTTTGTGATTTTTCACATATTTGGATCTGTGTTATTCATCATATCAGCCTTCAACTGTCCACTGATGAACATAAGCTTGGGGAGCTCCTTCTTGGGGAGTTTAGCCAGTAGTTGCCATGCTTGGCAGGCAGATTGGCAACTGCAATTAGATTTTGGAGAAGTTTTTAGGGACGTTGCTGCCCATCTCTCGCCTTTCTTTAGTCGCCTCTTACGACACCTACGGGAAACGAAGGGGGTGATTTATTCTATGCGGGGATCACACGGCTAATATATTATGAGAAACAGACTATGTATAAAAATTGTCTACACCTATGGCTAATGCTGCTGCACTTGGTTGTGTTTTGTTTGTGGAAAAACAACTATACCGTTCTAATATGGAATAGTTTCATACGTCCAATGTTATGTGCCCATTTATATTTATAGTGTAGAATGGCGGGGAACCGGCGGAGGATGAAGTCAGCGGGTCTACGATGAAATGGAATTCCGGATTTTCGGCTCAATTTTGTGTTGTTGTTCATACCGAAATCGGCAATAGTGAATGGATGGATAATATTTCGTTCGTCATAAATCCAACCATAATGGTCCAAAGGAACGATATTTTAATATATTTAATATTTTTAAACAGTATGTATTATATAATATTAACATCAAATTTTTATAGGGTTTTATAGATTTACTACTCTAGAACTTTTTTTCTCCGATGGTTATCGATTGCTGCAGTTGTATAGCCAGCCCACTGATATTTCATCATATATACAAGTTTTAATATCAGATAACGATTTGAAGTAAATGTGGATTTTCTGGTATTATCTTGTAGTCTATTCAATAAAATTGATTGTTATTCAATTGAAATAAACGGCAATCTCAGTGTAGGCATGTAGTTTTGCCAACGAAGCTTTGACTTCTATTTTCTTTTAGGTCAATTCCTGGTCCTGTTAGTTTCTTAATCTGCAATAATTTGTATAAAACGGAGAGAAAATCTTTCTATTTTATTTATCACACAAACGCTGTGATTTTTTTACAAAATAAAAAAGAAATAAAAATTTATTAATATAAGATAGGACATTTTTTCAGTACTTATTCAGGTCAATATTTTTTTAATACTGC